TTGGTTAGCTTTTATAGGTCTTGCAAACATTTCTTATATATAACTAGTTAGATTTACTTTGCAGACTCGTTTAGCGAAATATCTATTTTTACCAAAACTCAGATCAAATTAATCTTGACTTTTCACAGCAAAACTGACCAAAAGATACAGAAATGTGAACGCAAATTATGCCTAATTGTGAGCTTTGTTCGATAATAGTAAAAAGTGTTGATTCGAATCTTATAATGCTTTCATAATCAAGTTTATTCTTAGACACTTCTAAGCTGTATATTCGGGTCTGGTTTCGCACTATTTACTCCCACTAAAAATGTTCATATAAGCATCAGGTTGCATCTTGTGAGCTGTTTGTTTTACATGATATAAACCAAGTCTTATTTAAGTTGTCAAGGTGTACATTTACCATATTTCAGGATTTAGTAGGGTTTCTAACCACATAAGAAATCGAAGCGATCGACCTTTATCGTGGTTACAGAAGAATAAATCCATTCGTCCATAAAAAGTGCCTTCTATTTAGTCCTGTTGATTAACGGCTTATATTTATTCTTCCGACACGTGATAAAAGAGTTAATTAATGCATTACTACAATTTTCAGACGACTGACGTAATTAATGTTTGATTTTTTTCAATAGAGGTATATACTTTTGTGCATATCATAACGGGCAGTTATTCTTTGAAAAATATTTCCAATCTGGTTCTTCACTTGTTTATTTATGTGCTGCTGGAATTGGAAGTAAGTGTTTTTTTAAACACATTTTCTATTTCTTCATTAAATTTCGATTGTGTATGAAATAGGTTGGTACTGACAACCCATTCGATTTTGTCAAATGAGTAGTTTCTTGTGGAGCAACAACTTTGTTGTAATTGGGTTTAAGCAAAAACGTTTTAAGTTTAGGCATAACTCTACCTATTTCGGTTTGGGCAGTCAGGTTACATCGCTATTAATATTTGGCGTGACTCAAAACTACGTAAATAACCCTGTACTCAGTAAATGACCGATATATATATATATATATATATATATATATATCTTTTTGAAACCATGAATCGATCAATGTTAGACTACCATTAGAAACCTGGAAGCACTGGACGGCCGTTTCGTCCTGGTATGCGACTCCTCAGCAGTGCGCATCCACGATTCCTGCACCCTGGACCTTCGGTATTGAGTGCGAACGCCTTACTATCGGACCACTGAGCCGGTATCTAACGGTGTTAATGTCTAACTTGATCAATTCACGGAGTTGCGCAACCTCATACACAGTCTTCGGTAATTACTGTCTACGCCCAAAGAGATTGAACTTCACTGGTCACGTCTTCCCACTAGAACTCTGAGAAGATTCCGCACGAAGCTAGTCACTAGTGAGCACAGGCAATTTGCATTACGGGGTTGTGAAGATTATTAAGTTACACATTTTTGAAACCGCACTGCTGAGGAGTCCCATACCAGGACGAAACGGCCGTCCAGTGCTTTCAGGTTTCTAATGGTGATCTAACATTGATCGATTCATGGTTTCAAAAATGTGTAACTTAACAATCTTCACAACCCCGTAATGCATATATATATATATATATATATATATATATATATATGTGTATACATATATATATATATATATCATTGGCTACTTCAGTCGAATCACATTTAAAATCAACCAAGCAGCTAGCATTTCGTTCATGATCTAAGCTTTAATTGCTACCTCTGCACTTAAAGTTCACTTCAACGTGATGGTGGATTAAAGTTCAGAAAAAAGAAGGATATTAATTACACTGTGATTGAATTTACTCTTTTAACTAAACTAAACATAGAGATTAATCACATTGATCTGATCAGACTAATAGAATAAGGTCTACACAGTAAAATACAAAACTCTCCTTATTTAAATTATGGATCAGAGAAAACTTATTAACATTAGTGTTTCAAATGTTATGTTTAGGTACATTATTTGAAATTGCTCAAAGTTGAACTCAATGATGCATGTAGATTCATTTCTTATTTTTTTGAAGTGATTCTGAAATTGTCTTATTCACCTTCCATTTTCTCGTTTTAATTCATCATCACATCTCTGCATATTGTTTGTTGATCGTTGTTTCGGTTCATTATTACTCTAGTGATTTGTTCATGATACCTATTTGGGATAATATATCCTGTCAGTTGTCAGTTCAATTTTCAAACTCCTTTTTTTTTCTTGTTCACATATTTTCTCTATTTTCTTTTCTTTTCACAATTAGTTTAACATTAATATTTTTTAGATTCACTGACTAATTACTAAATCTTCTTTCTATTGGTATTAATTACTTTTACAGGTATAACCGCTTCTTCTTTAACCAATCCTATTTGGTTTGTAAAAACAAGACTTCAATTAGATTCACGGCAAGTTGAAATTATATATTTGTTGTTTAATGTTATTGATAAAAATTGATAAAAAATCACCTTATTCATTTTCCTGTTGTGTTTTGAGTAACAGGAATAGGTGGAATCATCAGTATTCATTGTAAATATGAAACACCTATTATGCTTATTATTCATTAAGAAAGCGATAGGATGCTTAATTTGTTTATTTTTCCTACAGTTTCTTGTAGACCAGTTTATTGTCTACACCAATGATACTTTATATCAAGACATGTTCATTTGTATTCATTTGTCCAAGATCACTGCATTTGAATTCATTTATATAGTGATTTGAGTAACCTGTCAAAGTAATATTTATGTTGCGAATTGAGAATCAGTTAGAAAATCATTTAAAACTATAGATCTAGTGCCCGATTTCGAACTCTTCAGTAGTGTGTTAAGTAATATCGTGCTCAACACAGAGTCTAGAAATTCTAGATTCAGTCTCGTACGAAATTAATGGTTCACACCGCTGAGTAATACAAAAGCATAGTGAATGATTACTTAGTTTTTAGTAATTTCTCATTTTGATATCGATTTGTGATCGAATTCTATCCCCAAATTAAATAGCTGAATTCCCTGTTGATACAAGTTTTCATTTCACTTCAATCATAACTCTCCTAGAGATACAGTCCATTTAAAAACAGCGAATGAAAGTTATAAAGAAGCATAGTCAATATGAATTTCAACAGTTCTGTTTAGCTATAGTAGGAGATTTGGGTTTCTGAAATCAATCTAAATTTCCAAAGATTAAGACCAGTGATCCACTACTAATTACTCACTTACTAATAATCACACTTGTTCGGTAACTTTCACAAGAAATCATACGTTAGCTGTTGTACACATTTCTATGCGCGTGAATTGTGAATTTGACTACTTAATTATGGCGAGTTTAGACAATGCTTTGTATTATTAACAAATTATACTTGGGAATTTTAATCATTGATACTTGATCATTTTGTTCCCTTTCTGTTTTTATAAGTAGAATAATAGATTTGTCAGTTATAGACTTCATGTTTGGTTGTAAAATCTTTTTATGTAGTGCAGGAAAACTGGCTTCAATCATTCAATTATAATCAATATAAGACCTGGTCATTCAGTCAGTTAGTCAGTCAGTCAGTTACAACTGACAGACGCACACCGATTTTAGTTACCAATACCAAACAACCACAAACATGAAATTAACTAGATGAATTACAGAAGAAACATCAAGCGTAGAAAATATGGCTGGAGTAGAGTAGATAAATTCACATTATAAGGGTTTTGAAAAAAGATGGTCTTGTCTATACCCTACCTGTCCAAATTACCTAAACTGCTTTGTGTATTGACAAGATTAATAAAATACAGTTGAATAACGTTAGATAGATTCACTTTTCCCAGTTATTTACAACTAATCAATGTATCTTTTTGTCTCATTAATATTGATATCTCGTTATTCGTCTGTGTTAGTTCTCGTCATATCTACATCAGGTTCCACGTTGTTTGTGACTGACTAACTAGATGAAAGGAATCATTGTGAATTGTAAACAATGCCCATAACGAAGTCCCAACTTTTAATTTAATTATATTGCTGTTTATAAATTGTTCAAGTTTATAAGTCACTTGGTCATCATTAACTTAGAGCCTAGCACAAATATGCGTTGGTTCAAGTTGCTATACTCTATCGGTGCGACAAGATCAAATTCACAAAATGACTAGCGAAACAGACAAAAATAAATTTGGTGGGCTTGACCATGAGAGAATAGGCGTCAGGAATATAGTTCAAGAGGATAAGTTAAAAAGTTATTTATATAAAACGATACTATAATTGAAGATAAAAGAAATGAATAGGTCTGTAAAGTTGTGAACGATTCTTATGATAAGCGAGAATCTTGCCTACACTACAAGTGACATGAGTTAATAAAGGCTAGTTGAGCTTTCTGAATTTGTACCGTGGTTTTGTCTAATATTAACTAATTAGAGCTGGTGAGACCTTTAAGATGAGTGAGATCGTCAACACATTTAACTATTTTCAAACCAAGACATTTAAATCGTATAGCATAATGCGTTGTGATATAAGCAATTTCTTAAATTTCATTTGGTTTATCATCCTGAATAACCACCGACTGCCTTGACGAGCTATGTTTTGTGGTGTAGGAGTAGGTTGGAAGAAAGCTAGGGGCGGCCAAACCAAAACATGGCAGAAATGCATGAAGTCATTGACAAGTGGACTGAGTCATGTTGGTAGATGTAGGCTACCTGGTTGGGGTCTGCGAGATGAAAGTCACCAATGGTTAGAGACGTTGAACGACATGGCTCAGAATCGTTTGCAATGGCGCAAGTGCATCCATTCTTTGTGCCCCCTCAAATCCTAATTTTCTGGATTCGTCAGCACTTTCTCTACCTTTGTCTTTCTAACCTAATCTGACTGAATTATACTTCTTGAATAATATCTTCAAACCGTAGTCTTCTTCATTACCATTAATACCTCTTCTATCTTTATCACTATGGTATTTGATTTGACCTTTGCGTCTGTGTGCCAATGTGGTATGGCAACATGAACTTATATACATACGTACGAAGTTCTACGTTGCAACTGACTGACTGACTGAATATCTGCTCTCATATTGAAAAGTTGCAAACATCTGAGTCAAAGCGTTGACATCTTATTTTTATATATACTCAGGGGTGTTATTATGTGAATTTAGTTACTTCTATTAAAATCAGTTAAGTGTGTTTCTTTTTGTGTACAGCTTTTTTTTCTACAATGAAGAGTCTCATTGATTTTGAATCATGTCACAACTTCGATATACACTAAGACATTTACTTATTACACAAAACAAAAAGAAACTATCTTGATTGGAATAAAGCTTTATCTCTTAGCGAGATATCGCCTCCATTTTTTTGGTTCCAATTTTCTTTTCTTTATCAATAGCTTGTGCTACTTTATGGCTGTGAAACATGGCCAGTGAGAGTAGAAGATATTCGTAGGTTACTGGTTTTCGATCATAGGTGTCTTCGAAGCATTGCTCGTATATCGTGGGACACCCGAGTGAGCAACGCTGTTATTAGGAATCGGGTGCTAGTTAAGAATGGCAGATCAATAGATGAAGTATTGAAACTTCATCAGTTGAGGTGGTTGGGACATGTATTGCGTATGCCCAACCACCGACTGCCTCGATGAGCTTTGTTTTGTAGTGTAGGAGTAGGTTGGAACAAAGCTAGGGGCGGCCAAACCAAAACATGGCAGAAATCCATGAAGTCATTGACGAGTGGACTGAGCCATGTCGGTAATTGTCGACTACCTGATTGGGGTCCGCGAGATGATAATAATCGATGGTTAGAGACCTTGAATGACATGGCTCAAAATCGTTCGCAATGGCGCCGGTGCATTTATTCTTTGTGTTCTATCAAATCCTAATCTTCTGCATTCTTCAACACATCTAGTTTTTACTTTCTAAACTTTTCTCACTGAATCATACTTCTTGAATAATATCTTCTAATCCTAACCTCTTCGATTACTTCTAATACCTTTACTACCTCTTCTACTATTGGATTTGAATTGACGATTACTTCTCTGTGCTGATGTGGTATGGCAACATGAACTGATGTACTTGTGTACGAACTTCTACGTTGCAACTGACTGTGCTACTGCTGCTGTTGCTGATGATGATGTATTGGTATTGTACATTTTGCATTAATTCATTTTTGATCAGAATTTTCAGTACGTAAGAGAGATGTGTTACATTTGCTTGCAGTAAATGTAATTTCTTACTTTTTCTAGCATTAAATTGTTTCTTGGTTAAGTTTATTATTATTATTTTTTTGAAGTGAGAGTTTAAGTGAATTAAGTTTATATTTAGAATTCGTAACTGAATTCTCATCTCAAGGTCGCAGGTTCATACATCTTGTTAATAGTCATATGTTTAGGTATTTTTCTGAATTATTTAAAAGTGATAATCTTGTAACCAGTTTCTTGGTATCTTTCCAACAACAATATATGCCCATGGATATGATGTGATCAGTCAGTTTTACGCCAACTAAGTGAATTCTGACTATAGGTTATCAGTTGAGGTACTTCAGTGCTTGTTCATTTTGTATTTATTAGCTTTATTTTTGCAGTCTTCTCATCATCTTGAGTCTATTTTATCCAATATCAGCAGTTATTGTATCTTTAATTTAAAACAATGTGTCTGACATGGCTCAAAATCGTTCCCAATGACGCCGGTGCATTTATTCTTTGTGTTCTATCAAATCCTAATCTTCTGGATTCTTCAACACCTCTAGTTTTGACTTTCTAAACTTTTCTCACTGTATCATACTTCTTGAATAATATCTTCTAATCCTAACCTCTTCGATTACTTCTAATACCTTTACTACCTCTTCTACTATTGGATTTGAATTGACAATTACATCTCTGTGCTGATGTGGTATGGCAACATGAACTGATGTACTTACGTACGAAGTTCTACGTTGCATCTGACTGACAATAGCTTGTGCTGCTTTCGGCTGCTGCTGCTGCTGATGATGATGATGATGTATTGGTATTGTACATTTTGCAATAATTCATTTTTGATCAGAATTTTCAGTACGTAAGAGAGATGTGTTACATTTGCTTGTAGTAAATGTAATTTCTTACTTTTTCAAGCATTAAATTGTTTCTTAGTTAAGTTTAATTTTTTTTTGAAGTGAGAGTTTAAGTGAATTATCTCAAGGTCGCAGGTTCATACATCTTGTTAACAGTCATATGTTTAGCTATTTTTCTGTATTATTTAAAAGTGATAATCTTGTAACCCCTTTTTTTGGTATCTTTCTAACAATACATGCCCATGGATATTATATGATAAGTCACTTATACGCCAACTAAGTGAATTCTGACTATGGGTTATCAGTTGAGGTACTTCAGTGCTTGTTCATTTTGTATTTATTAGCTTTATTTTTGCAGTCTTCTCATCATCTTTAGTCTATTTTATCCAATATCAATAGTTATTGTATCTTTAATTTAAAACTATGTGTCTGACATGGCTCAAAATCGTTGCCAATGGCGCTGGTGCATTTATTGTTTGTGTTCTCTCAAATCCTAATCTTCTGGTTTCTTCAACCCCTCTAGTTTTGACTTTCTAAACTTTTCTCACTGAATCATACTTCTTGAATAATAATATCTTCTAATCCTAACCTCTCCGATTACTTCTAATACCTTTACTACCTCTTCTACTATTGGATTTGAATTGACAATTACATCTCTGTGTTGATGTGGTATGGCAACATGAACTGATGTACTTACGTACGAAGTTCTACGTTGCATCTGACTGACTGACTGACTGATGTATCAGAGATGGTAGGATATGATTGGCTTATGCTCAAAGATATAGACCTAATCGTACTAAATATAAGAGACTTTTGTATGTAAAAATCGATTCTATTGTTAACTGATTTGTACTTTGTGTGAATATATTCTGATTGTAACCCACAGTTTGTTTCCATAATTATTAGTTAGATAATTGGTTTGTGTGCATCACGTAATCGAATATCGTGATTTCTAGTGTCCTCCAGCCTTGGGTTTGGTGTATTGGTCCTATTATCTACTAGTTTAGAATTCTGTTTAGGATTGCAAATGCAAATCAAACATCTTGCATTTTATCAGTCTTTAGATTTATGCTTGGGTTTATGATGTCTATGCACTGTCCCATTCTGAAATAATTTCTTGTTTTCAAAATTACCAACGTACTTCGGACATGAATTGATAACTACGCATAATTGATGTAGGATCTAGCAGAAGTGTTGATTGGAGTTGGGCTACCTCCTGGTAACATAGTCAGACGAAATCAACAGGAGAAAAAGCAGAAATAAAGATTACTCCGATGGTTGTGAGAACCTAAACAGAAAATATGATCCAAAAGGAAGAATAAATGATAATAAACTCTGATAACGACTTAGAAAACCAATTTGTTTGCGTTACTACAGTGAAATTTTAGTCAGGTCGTCTAATGTTGCAGTTATCTCATGGATTCTTAATAACAATCTTCCAAATGCCCTGGTTAGCCCGTGAGTGGGAAGAGTTCGCTTTTCCCATAGATATGCTCTCATGTAGACACGCGTGTATAGTTACTACTTGATAACTCCTACTCGCTGCGGGGTTTTGTCTATGAAATCGGTAGGCCGAAAAACATGTCCGGTTCCGAAACTGGATTGGTGGGTGCGCAGGGTCCAACCAGAAGAGTTTGAGACCCGTGACTCCAAACAAGTGGGGTATAAGAACTTCAGGATCCTGATAGAACAAATAATGTATGTACCTTGTCTTAGTCTCTGGATACTCTATGGTCTCGTGTTTATTAACGTTGCTGCACTGCCTTGTGGATTAGACGTCTAGACTAAAGACTCAGAGTGATCCTGCTTCGGTTTGGGCACGAACAGTATCCCGGCTCATTCAGATTCAATGATATGTGTTTAAATAAATACATGATAACAAATTTGTAAGTCCTACAAAGGCTTAGATATAACAATTAGTGATCTTATCGATAAACTTCATGGCTTAATTTGGTCTCTTTTCCTAGCCTGCTCATGTACTAGCCATGATAGGACGCTGGATAATATCATGGATGTTGGTGGACGGCGGAAAACTAAAAAGTACTTGGGGATTGGTCAAAGACTTTTCGACCATCGTTCTCGTTTCCTGGCCTGATGGTGAGACTACTGATAGTTTCACTAAGTGGGATCATTTTAAATGGGGTGTCTTTCTTAGATGCAATGATGTGTCCATTGTCGTTTTTTTAACTGTCTTGTTTGTCTTTTTTGGTTTATTTACTGATCAACTGTTTGTCCTCGTACATATAGGTGATCAGGTTGAGTCTCTCCAGCGAAATTTCAAAGCTGTGTAAATCCATTGACTTTCCTCAATTTTTCACTACAAGTCGCTGACAGTTTCTATTTCTGTTTTTAAAATCGACTAGCTAGTGCTGACTGATTACTATATGAAATCTTTCCGTTTAATGTTGATTTAGGTGTCGAATGTAGGCGACATACAAAGCTGGTACTTGCTTAAAGCGGTGCTTATCTAAGCATATATCTGCCGCTATCTGTTCTCTGGAGTAATAAAATAACACTTGTCCATTCATTAACTAATTTATCTACTTAAACACCAGAGTCAGTTCTGTACTACGCCTCAGATAATTCTCCACTATGCTTGTGGTGGAGTTTGGTTCTCTGAGTTGGATGTTTTGGTTGTGGAGCTTTCAGTTGTTCTGCTGAACAACATCATCAGCACAAACTTCAGATAAAAGTTAAGCATTTGAATCCTCTCCACGTATGACCTCGTACCTTGTTCTGTGAACCTTCGATCTTGATGGTTTCTCATTGACCTTCCACCTGTCGTTGTTTGCACCTTTATTTTGATTGATTGCCCCTTTTGATCTGTTTGTTGATTGCTGAGTGACCTAAGTGCCAAGCTTCTAAATATTCTGTAGTGTTCTTTGTACTCCCCCTATCAGGTATTCCCACGAACGTATGTCCATAGTTTTCCGTATTTGTTGATATAAGAGAAGAAATGTCATGGCGTTTGACTGCTAATTGATGTCCACGTAAACGAAGCTGAAGAAAACGTCTATTTTGTTCTATGTAGTGTTTTCCACAATCTGAGCAATTTACTTTGTAGATGATATTTGGTATTTCTTCCCTTGTCATTTTGTCCTTTAATCTACAGAGGACTGATTAAAGTGATTCTGTTGGTTTGTGTGCTACGCCTATTCCAAATGGTCGCAGTAGACTTGCTGTAAGTCCCGATGTCTTTTATGTATGATAGAATGATCTGTTTGTTGGTTCATGTACTTGATTTCGCTGCTGTTGATGGTTTCAGTCGATGTTTTTTTGATGAAGTTACGAAAATAACTGTTCTTTTGAAGATAGCCATCAGATATTTTTCCTCGTTTTTTTGTGCTTCATGCGTGCTGCAGCGTCTTTTCGCTCGCTTGGACAAAGTTTGTGCGCAGTTGATTTTGCGAGTTCTTGGTTTGTTGCTACTGTAGTTGAGAATGAGATCTGTGCGGGTTGGCTTCCTGTGTCAGCTCTGGTGATTAATACCCCCGGGGATGATAGACTGCTGTTTGATTCCTTTTCCATAGTGGATTTTATGTCATCGAAGACGTTCTTAATCCGATTGGAGATGATCTCCAGCTCGTTCCTTTTAATGATGACGAGTATGTCGTCTACTTAGCGAACCCACATCACTGCTAAAATCGATGCTTCTATTCTCTGCATCACGGCTTCTGCGATAAGTCCTTATATTAGTGTTTCTTTCATTTGTTCGTAGATTTTTTGAATTGCAAATACGTTGTTAAGCATAAATTGATGAGTCCTAGTAGACTTTGATTTGGAAGTTTTGTATACTTTGGGAGGCTTGTGTCGTTGGTGAGGAGCAGGGATAGAGTTTCTGTAGCTAAGCTTGGTTCTATTGAAGTGAATAAAGCTGTTACCTCGAAAGATATGATCAGTTCATCGTTATCGATTTGAATCTCTAGGGAGGGAATACAACTGAACCCTCAACATACTACTTGGCAAGAGAAATTTCAAAGATATTGAGACATTTGGTGGATTCATCCTGACTACTTCAGTAAGTCTCATTCAATTCCTGTATATAAGCGATAGGTGTAAGGTCAGCAACAAGCAGTCAAGATCGAGGTTAACAGAACAAAGTACGGGGCATACGTGAGAGAGATTCGAGTGCCTAACTTCTATCTGAAAGTTTGTTCTGATGATATTGTTCAGCAGAACAATGAAAGCTCCACAACCAAAACATCCAACTCAGAGAACCAAACTCCGCCTCAAATCATCCACCCTAGCTACAAATTTTTTCCACCATACCTTTGAACCTCAAGGTTTCGTAACGCCCTAAATTACTGATTACGTGGTCATAATAACATACACTTTTCTATACTTGAAATAATTAAATTCACTGCTAGGAAATATCGCTGAACTTCTTAGCTTTGCGTTTAATATCACTTTACTTTTAATTAGTTTTTGCGTTTCATTTCACTTGATATTTCATGCTACATTTGTAAGTCAGTCCTAAGTAGTACATCAAAAGTAGTCAAATAAACATTAGACTATACATTACGGGGTTGTGAAGATTGTTAAGTTACACAATTTTGAAACCATGAATCGATCAATGTTAGACCACCATTAGAAACCTGGAAGCACTGGACGGCCGTTTCGTCCTGGTATGGGACTCCTCAGCAGTGCGCATCCATGACTCCTGCACCCCGCAGGATTCGAACCCAGGACCTTCGGTATTGTGCATCCCATACCAGGACGAAACGGCCGTCCAGTGCTTCCAGGTTTCTAATGGTGGTCTAACATTGATCGATTCATGGTTTCAAAATTAGACTATACGTTCAAAGCATTTTTTACTTAGATAAGTTTAAACAGTTAATTAGTATATCAAGAGCTTTCGCATACTAAACTGTCTCAAAACAACTGACTCGATTATTGTATACTATTCAATTGTCACATCATGCATTAAATTCCACATATAGAGTGGAAATACAAAGCCTTCTATTCACCATATAATTTCCCATTTATAGTAGTATAAGTTTGTTTGCATTGATATATGCAGATTTTAATTCTCATAACCTACATTTATTAAAGTAATGAACAGTAGAAGAGATTTCTAATACATCATTTTCTTTTCATTCTTTATTTACTAGACCAGGTCATACACCTATTACAGTTTCACAAGTGATACGTAACACTTGGAAACGTGATGGATTTCGTGGTTTCTATCGATGGTGTAAGTGCATCATACTTTGGTTCATTAGAAACAGCTTTGAATTTTGTTGTCTATGAAAATTTTAAATCGGAACTACTTTGGCGAGAGCATAAACGTAAACTAACAACATTGAATGATGATTCTATTCCAATGTCGGCAAAATCTATTTCTATCAATGATGATGATAATTATATGCCACAAAAAGCATCGGATTTTCGTGGTTCAAGTGGTGGCAGTAAATTATCTGCTTCAAAAGATATGATTTTGTGTATGATTGCTAGTGCTTGTTCAAAAGCAATTGCTATTACAGCTCTTTATCCTCATGGTAAGTAGTAGTAGTAGTAGCAACATGAATAATAATGATAATAATAGTAATTTTTTGTTTGTATACTTGATTTTCAACGAATCAGTTAACTGACTTATCAGGTGTACCTTGTTTATGAGCTCTAATTTTACCAGGACAGATGAAATTAAAACAGTTCAAGCAAGCTGAATCATGCCGAAGCATGTTGATCGGTGCATTTTTCAGTCAACTAACGTTGACAGGCAAATACGAAGGCCTCTAGAATCGTCTTGTGTAGTAAAGGCCATAGACACACAAATGTAACTTTAACTTAGTTATCTTAGCGTGTTTGTTTTGGTATATTAATACATTCCTGTTCCAGCTGTGTTTCCGTTTGAAAGCTAATCCGATGAAGTAAAGTATCCATAGAATACTAGGTCAGTCAGTCAGTCCGTTGCAACGTAGAACTTTGTACATAGGTACGCACATCAGTTCAGGTTGCTATACTGCATTAGCACAGAGACGCAACTGTCAGTTCAATCCCATAGTGGTAGAGATAGTAAAAGTATTAGTGGTAATGGAGAATATTAGGGATCGAAGATATTATTCAAGAAGTATAGTTCAGTGACATAACTTTAGACAGAGAAAGGTAGAGATGATGAGGAATATGAAGGATTACAATTTCAGCGAACACAAAGAATGGATGCATCTGCGCCATTGCAAACGATTTTCAGCCATGTCGTTTTAGGGTCGCTAACCATTGGTGAATTTCGTCTCGCGGACCCCAACCAGGTAGCCCACATCTACCAACATGACTCAGTCTTCTTGTCAGTGACTTCATGGATTTCTGCCATGTTTCGGTTTGGCCACCGTTAGATTTCTTCCAACCTATTCCTACATCACAAAACATCACTTGACGAGGCAGTTGATAGTTTGGAATTCGTAGCACATGTCCCAACCTCCTCAACTGATGAAGGTTCAATACTTCATCTAACGATACTGTGCAATAAGTGTAACTGGATCAGATAATAAAGACTTAACTGCCAACAGTTCTACTCAGTTGCTAAACCTAATTAGTTGAACTTCAAACCTGCAACCCAGTAATTGGAAGTCAGACGAGTACCTTAGCACCACTACTACAACTATTTACAGAGACATGTTCAAACTCAGATTAATGGATATTTCATCCGATTAGAGTAGTACAGCGCTATAGTTAACTTTTATTGATTATGATTATTAGCATAGATAAAAAGCCCTAGATTTCGGTGGCGTACATTTATTTGTATACTGAATTATACTAATTCCTAATTTCATACTATTTTCAATTTCCGTTTTAGATTTTTATTATATTTAGGCAATTATAGACAACTTTAATCATTGATTAGCAGTTTAATAAATAAAATAATCCTGAAATTATTTCACTTTGAAATTTACTTTACATCTAATTTTTCTCTGTCTTAGTTGATAATTAGCAATATAGGAATGACCTTGAGAGAGAGAAATATAAGGACATTGTTTTTTTAGCAGCAGAACACTCTGTCGATCAATAAACTTAAATTAGCGCTTGTGTACACTTGATTGCGAGGCATACGTAAAATATGCAAAAAAAAAGCTGAAGATTGCCTGCTGTGATGATGATGATGATGATGGTAGACAAGTCAGGTGAAACAGTTACTGAGTCTAACCTTTGGCCATATCACATGATTATTAACCCTGAAGAGTATGTGTTAATACGATAGGTCATTAAAAACTCATAAAATATAACCATGATTCACTTAATAAATAACTTGACAACCACAACAAATATTATATAAACAGTTCCAAAATCTAGTCTATGATTGACTGACTGTAAACAGTTTGACATTGCTTGTAAAGTTTAAGACATTGTGAATGGATTTGACCTAGACCTATGTCACAAGGCCAAATTTTGGTCATGTGATGGTGTTTTTGAAATAAAGAAAATAATCTAGTGGCAGCCAACTGAAAAATGTCTGTACATGTTTCTTTCAAGACCCCTTCCTACCTAGTGTGTTTTATACATGAAAAATAATTATTCGATTCATTTTTTTTAATATTGAAGGGACAATTCGATTCATGCATGGGATTTTACTGTTGATGAGTGTCTGTGACACAGAAAAATGAACAGACTGGTTTATTTTGATATTTTAACAAATTCGTTTACATAATTTCCCATCTTTTCCCCCCACTTAAACAGAAGTAGCTCGAACACGTTTACGTGAAGAAACTGGTCAGTATAAAGGATTTTTTCGTACACTTCATTCAGTTGGCAAAGAAGAAGGTTTAAGTGGTCTATATCGTGGCATGGCAACACATTATATTCGTCAAGTACCTAATTCATGTATTATGATTGGAACTTATGAATTTGTTGTCTTTCTACTACAATCTTGGGATTTAACTAAAGATACCAAAGTATTGTAGTGCCTATTTATTCTTCTTCTTATTTGCAGCACTCTCTTTCCTTTCCATTATTCAATTGTACAGAAAAATAAACAATCAATCAATCATTATTTACTTTTTAAAAATTAAACATATGTGTATAGTAGTTTCATTGAATTTGTTGTGTGTGTGCTCATATGTTTTTTACTCCTCACAATCATATTATTACTTCAGAAAAATACAAAAACAGACAAATAAACAATAGAGTTAGAGAATTATTGAGAGTAATAAAACAGAGCTATTTAGGACTTTCTTTTTATTTTCATTTTTATTCAAATTTACTACTTATTACTACTTATTATTATCATTATGCTATGCTATGCTATGCTGTATACAGAATTACGTTAGTCAATTGTAAGAATTCATTTTAAATGTGCGCAAGCATATTGTGTTCTTTTTTTAAATGCTTATTTCTATTTCTTTTTTCTTGTGAATTTTTCTTCTCTCGCATTGTGCATCCGCTTACTTCTGGTGTTCTATTATATTTAGTTGAATTGTAGATACAATACATGTTAAGACATTGAGAACATTGTACAACTTATTGAAGTGTGTAGATGTTATGTAGTGTTGTATAGTTTCACTACCCTATCTATTATCATCTCTCTGTCTCTTTGTCACCTTTATATCAGCATTATCATCGTCTCTTATCGATTGTTTCATTACTTACTAACCAGGTTTTCTTTCCGTTTTCTATGATAATTGTATACACTACTGATTATTATTGCTATTATTATTATTATTATTATTACTATTACTAGCGTGTTATTATATGTTGGTTGAGCTTCGCTGTTATATTCCTACTATTATATTATATTAGTCTTTTCTTTTTCCCTAATTATTGTACACATGCATTTTCAATGTGGGTTTTATAATAAAATTTGATCAGAAAATTAATAATAATAATCATTCTATCAATGTGACAATCGCGATATCTGTGGGTTTTTTTCTCTCGGTATCAATTGTAAGTTTGTTCAGAAAACTAAATTAAACTAAACACAAGAAAAAGATTGATTGATGACTTCAATGCAAAGAACAGTCAGTCAGATGCAACGTATAACTTTGTTCGTAAGTACATCAGTTCATGTCGCCATACCACATCAGCACAGAGAAGTAATTGTCAATTCAAATCCAATAGTAGAAGAGGTAGTAAGGGAATTAGAAGTAATCGGAGAGGTTAGGATTAGAAGATACTATTCAAGAAGTATGATTCAATGAGAAAAGTTTAGAAAGTCAAAACTAGAGTTGTTGAAGAATCCAGAAGATTGGGATTTGAGAGAACACAAAGAATAAATGCACTGGCGCCATTGCAAACGATTTTGAGCCATGTCATTCAAGGTCTCTAACCATCGATTATTATCATCTCACGGCCATGTTTTGGTTTGGCCGCCCCTAACTTTCTTCCAACCTATTCCTACACTACAAAACATAGCTCGTCGAGGCAGTCGGTGGTTAGGCATACGCAACACATGTCCCAACCACCTCAACTGATGAAGTCTCATTACTTCATCGATTGATCTGCCATTCTTACCTAGCACCCGTTTCCCAATAACAGCATTGCTCACTTTGTTGTCCCACAATATTCGAGCAATGCTTCGAAGACACCTATGATCGAAAACCAGTAACCTCCGAATATCTTCTAATCACACTGGCCATGTTTCACAGCCATTAAGTAAGACGGAGCGAACTACTGCGCAGTAAACTCCTCCTTTAGTCAGCAAACGGATATCTCGTCTACGCCATGAGTAACGTAGGTTGGCAAAAGTCTGTCGAGCGTTCTGTATCGGTGCCAAGATTTCGTCACACACCAGGCCATCAGCACTGATGAAACTCTCCAGATAAGTGAAGCAGTTGAGTATGTTGACCGCTTCACTTATCCTGATGCAACAACGAATGTAATTAACTCGACCAAATCGGCTAATTTTTTGATTACCATTATCTTCTGTATGAAATAAACAACTGAAATGTGCTTGCTAAACAATAATGAAAGTTTCTCAGTTAAACAATCCACCTGCATTGAAGTATACTTATTTTATGAATTGTCAACACTTCTGTTTTTAATAGGAAAGGAGTTTTATTATTATGACTGTGAATATCAAATATCATAATTGAAATGTTGAAATCAAGCTGTTCTAATGTATATATGACAATCGTATAGGGATCTCTCTGTCTCATTAGCAGATATTTAATGTTAAATTACAGTCGATTTTGTTCATATAATAGATGAGTACTTCGTACGTACAAGGAAAAAGTTGTATGTTAATAGCTAATTAGTCATTTGTTTACAGTTGTGGTTTATAGTCAACACAGAATCAGATTACGTTACCAGGTACAAAACTGTGAGTATATTGAGTAGCCTTGCTCTCCATTTTATTCTATGCATGTGAAACATTACCTTTGAAAGTAGATGACATTTGATGTTCAAAGCATCTATTGTATATCATGGAAAAACCGATTAGAGCACGAGGAAATGCCTATTGAAGTCGTAAATCTTCATCGATCTGGACGTAAGTCATGTCAGTCAGTCACAAAGTAGAACTTCTTAGGTAAGTACATCAGTTCAGGTTGCCATACCAGAACACAGACAAGTAATTTTCAGTGCAATTCCAATAGTCGTAGAGGTAGTAGAAGTATTATCAATAACCAGAGATACTAGGGTCCAAAGATATTATTCAAGAATCATAATCTAGTGAAATAAACTTAGAAAGATAAGGTTGATGAGGAATCCATAGGATTAGGATTTGAGAGAACACAGAATCGATGCACCTACGCCATTGCAAACGGTTTCGAGCCATGTCATTCAGGGTCTCTAACCATCGATCACTATCATCTCGCGGGCTCCAACCAGGTAGTCTACATCTACCGACATGAATCAGTTCACTTGTCAATCATCAAAAGGTTAAGTGTTCTTGCTCAAGGCCGAAGTACCCGGGTTCGATCCCCACTCAGGGAGTCGTGGGTGTGCACTGCTGATGAGTTCCATATCAGGACGAAACTCTAATCCATTGCGTCCAAGTTTCCAATAGTAGTCTAACATTGATCAGTACATGATTTCAATGTTAGTCATCATAATTTATGCCTTGATTAGGCTAATTTGATCAGAACTAATGTATAGCGACATGATAAAAGGAATGTAAATGTTTAATAATTTAGTTACTTAATGATATTGATATTTATCAATCAGTAATTAAGTTTGAATAAATTCAATACATAAGTGAGTGTTATAGTCAAATCGGTCGACATGTTTTGCAGAATGAAATTAATCTTTACCCGCATCAGTTTCAGTCTTCTTATTTGAGTCTTACCGAGACCGTAGCTGCTACCTTGACGTGGTGGTCGGGCTTGCCTATCGTGATGACCCAATCGAGCTATACTGGCTGGAACATATGTTCCTGAAGGTTCTACCATGCCAAGCAGGTCGATTGGAGAACGATGAGACTAAAAGCAGCTACTCAAGGTCTAAGGGAGAGGTCCTACTGCTGGCTGTAACGAGGTGTGGCAGCAGTAAGGTGTTTCCCACAGACAACCAGCATCTGCAGCAACGCTGTCTTCTCACAAGGAAGGAAGGAGTTAGAAAATGTTGACCATAAAAATGTTATACCTCACCCTACCTCACGGATATTTGTCTCCGGCGGTAAGGGTATCCATTAAGGGCTTTTGAGAGCAGAGCTAATACTAAAAAATGCTTTCATGAAAAGGCCGTGCGTGACCGGCCTCAAGCAGTTGTCCCTTGGGCTCTGCGGTCGTGCAACCAGGTCTCTAAGACTAACTCTAATCCACCTTTTCAGATTCCTCAAGAAACACCCCTCCATGGTGTGGGCAGTCGGGAAGTGACAACCGCCCTCATACCCGTAACAACACACGAGACGACATTGGTCGAAATCAAATCCTTCTTACATCCCGTAATGTCACGTTGTATCTGTCTGTCTGTCTGTCTATTTGAGTCTTACAAAACACGATGTTTTCTTGTAATGGAATCAGTGTTGATTTTTCTAATTACTGTTATCAGTCACGCGATATAAAAATGCAATAATCCTAGGTAACTCTATAATTATGCAGTAAGGAATATATGTATAATAATGCTAATCTATAAGTTAGTCCTGAGAGTTACTATCTTTTCAATCTTCGTTCCAGAATAACACTAATATTGTTATTCATATTGAAATTTGTACAAAGAATCTATGCTATAAGATGAAATATTACTTCTTGGTTCTATTCTGCTAGTTATTACTGAAAAATATAAAATATCTTGGAAAATCTCATTTTCATTATGATATAAATCATATAAATTAACCCTCTATTGATAAGGGTAATTCCACATTAGTTTTCAGGAGAACGAAAGAGACTACCCACTATGTTAACAGTTCAACGTGAACAGTTCGGCTTAATCTGATGGTGCAACCACCACACGAGTATCTGACACCCTGGTGGACCATTAACACCATTTATATACACTAGTACATATAGAGTGATTATTTCCGATCCGTGATCACGTCGATCAATATACACCGCATGAATCATACCATTTCGACCCATCCTGCTTGCATGACTGTCAAACTCATATTTATTAGCAATGATGATATACAATACAGCACCCCAATGACAATGAGCCTCGGAAATGTTGCAAAACAACAACCAGTATACAGTGAAATCGGCCACCATGCTAACCAATTTTGTATATGGACTGTTAGTACACTTGTCAAAGCAATGACAAACCTGTAGTGTGCCCGATGGCTGCGTGTTTCTTATAGCTCCGTTAATAAATCAGAAGATGAACTCCAAATATCGTATACGTTTATTTGAGGCACACCACAAATCGAATTGAAGAAGCGAATAGGAGAAGGCTATTGAGCCAACTCCAAGAGATAGAGTATGACTAAGAATATATAGTCCGATAAAAATAAGACAGACATATGACAAGCGAAATAGATATGCACACACATGAATACAAGCGACGAATGACTGACAAGGTCAAATGCAAGCGATACAAATCATGTGAGTTCATGGGAATACTAAGAGATTAACATTAAAGCGAAAAGGATGAGTAAGCGCGTAGGCGTAAGCAATGCTCAGTCGTATAAGCTCATAAAAAGCAGATAATAAAAAATAACAATGGTACATATCAGTTGTTGCCTTATACACACATGGCTGCTTCTCAAATTACACTTTACATCACAGGCATGTATACCATACATCCGTGTGTCAGACATGACACAAGGTGTTATGCACGTGTGACATATCACACTTTCCTCTCCTCACACTACTATTGTATCGTATCCAATTCGTCATCTGTTAGTCGTATGACCTATCTCACCCTGCATGTCGTCTGGTTCATCTGTTATCCGTTAGGATACTATGTCGGATCTATAACTTGTATTTAACCAAGTCATTTGTATAGCAACAACTGATATGTACCATTGTTATTTTTTATTATCTGCTTTTTATGAGCTTATACGACTGAGCATTGCTTACGCCTACGCGCTTACTCATCCTTTTCGCTTTAATGTTAATCTCTTAGTATTCCCATGAACTCACATGATTTGTATCGCTTGCATTTGACCTTGTCAGTCATTCGTCGCTTGTATTCATGTGTGTGCATATCTATTTCGCTTGTCATATGTCTGTCTTATTTTTATCGGACTATATATTCTTAGTCATGCTCTATCTCTTGGAGTTGGCTCACTAGCATTCTCCTATTCGCTTCTTCAATTCGATTTGTGGTGTGCCTCAAATAAAACGTATTCATCAACATGGAGTTCACCTTCTGATTTATAAACGGAGCTATAAGAACACGCAGTTATCGGCACACTATAGGTTTGTCATTGCTTTGACAAGTGTACTAACAGTCCATATACAAAATTGGTTAGCATGGTGGCCGATTTCATTGATACTGGTTGCTGTTCTGCAACATTTCCGAGGGTCATTGTCATTGGGGTGCTGTATTGCTGTATATCTATCACCATTGCTAAAAATAATGAGTTTGTGACAATCATGTAAGCGGGATAGGTTGAATTAGTCTGTTCTTCCGGTGCATATTGATTGACGCGACCATGGATCGGAAATAATCACTATATATATGTACTAGTGTATATAAATGGTGTGAATGGTCCACCAGGGTGTCAGGTACGCGTGTGGTGGTTTCGCACCACGTGTTTCAGCCGAACTGTTCACGTTGAAATGTTAACACGTGGGTGGTCAGTCTCCTTAGTTCTCCAGAAAACCTATGTAAAATTACCCTTGCTAATAGAGGATTAATTTATATGATTTATATCATAATGAAAATGAGATTTTCCAAGATATTTTATATTTTTCAGTAATAACTAGCAGAATAGAACCAAGAAGTAATATTTCATCTTATTAACATAGATTGTTTGTACAAATTTCATTATGAATGACAATATTAGTGTTATTCTGGAACGAAGATTGAAAAGATAGTAACTCTCAGGACTAACTTATAGATTACCATTATTATACATATATTCTTACTAATTATAGAGTTACCTAGATTATTGCATTTTTATATCGCGTGACTGATAACAGTAATTAGAAAAATCAACACTGATTCCATTACAAGAAAACATCGTGTTTTGTAAGACTCAAATAGACAGACAGACAGACAGATACAACGTGACATTACGGGATGTAAGAAGGGTTTGATTTTGACCAATTTGGTCTCTCGTGCTGTTATGGGTATGAGGGCGGTTGTCACTTCTCGGCTGCCTACACCGTGGAAGGTTGTTTCTTGAGGAACGTGAAAAGGAAGATAGATTAGTGTTGGTCTTAACGACCTGGGAGCGTGACCGCAGAGCCCAACGGACAACTGCTTCAGGCCGGTCACGCACGGCCTTTTTGTTAAAGGTTTTTTGAGTATTAGCTCCGCTCTTAAAAGCCCTTAGTGGGCACCCTTACCCAAGGAGACGGAAATCCGTGAGGTAGGGTGAGGTGTGACATTTTTTGGGGCGACCTTTTCTAGCCTTTCTTTCCTTGTGAGAAGGCAGCATCGCTGCAGATGCTAGTTGTCCAAGGCTAACACCTTACTGCTGTCACACCCCTCCACAGTCAGTCAGCAGTAGGACTTCGCCCTCAGACCTTGGGTAGGTGCTTTTAGTCTTATCGTTCCCCAATCGACCTGCCTGACATGGTAGAACCTTCAGGAACATGAGTTCCAGCCAGTATAGCTCGATTGGGTCATCACGATAGGCAAGCCCGACCACCACGTCAAGGTAGCAGCTACGGTCTCGGTAAGACTCAAATAAGAAGACTGAAACTGATGCGGGTAAAGATTAATTTCATTCTGCAAAACATGTCGACCTACTTGGCTATAAAACTCATTTATGTATTGAATTTATTCAAACTTAATTACTGATTGATAAATATCAATATCATTAAGTAACTAAATTATTAAACATTTACATTCCTTTTATCATGTCGCTATACATTAGTTCTGATCAAATTAGCCTAATCAAGGCATAAATTATGATGACTAACATTGAAATCATGTACTGATCAATGTTAGACTACTATTGGAAACTTGGACGCAATGGATTAGAGTTTCGTCCTGATATGGAACTCATCAGCAGTGCACACCCACGACTCCCTGAGTGGGGATCGAACCCGGGTACTTCGGCCTTGAGCAAGAACACTTAACCTTTTGATGATTGACAAGTGAACTGATTCATGTCGGTAGATGTAGACTACCTGGTTGGAGCCCGCGAGATGATAGTGATCGATGGTTAGAGACCCTGAATGACATGGCTCGAAACCGTTTGCAATGGCGTAGGTGCATCGATTCTGTGTTCTCTCAAATCCTAATCCTATGGATTCCTCATCAACCTTATCTTTCTAAGTTTATTTCACTAGATTATGATTCTTGAATAATATCTTTGGACCCTAGTATCTCTGGTTATTGTTAATACTTCTACTACCTCTACGACTATTGGAATTGCACTGAAAATTACTTGTCTGTGTTCTGGTATGGCAACCTGAACTGATGTACTTACCTAAGAAGTTCTACTTTGTGACTGACTGACATGACTTACGTCCAGATCGATGAAGATTTACGACTTCAATAGGCATTTCCTCGTGCTCTAATCGGTTTTTCCATGATATACAATAGATGCTTTGAACATCAAATGTCATCTACTTTCAAAGGTAATGTTTCACATGCATAGAATAAAATGGAGAGCAAGGCTACTCAATATACTCACAGTTTTGTACCTGGTAACGTAATCTGATTCTGTGTTGACTATAAACCACAACTGTAAACAAATGACTAATTAGCTATTAACATACAACTTTTTCCTTGTACGTACGAAGTACTCATCTATTATATGAACAAAATCGACTGTAATTTAACATTAAATATCTGCTAATGAGACAGAGAGATCCCTATACGATTGTCATATATACATTAGAACAGCTTGATTTCAACATTTCAATTATGATATTTGATATTCACAGTCATAATAATAAAACTCCTTTCCTATTAAAAACAGAAGTGTTGACAATTCATAAATAAGTATACTTCAATGCAGGTGGATTGTTTAACTGAGAAACTTTCATTATTGTTTAGCAAGCACATTTCAGTTGTTTATTTCATACAGAAGATAATGGTAATCAAAAAATTAGCCGATTTGGTCGAGTTAATTACATTCGTTGTTGCATCAGGATAAGTGAAGCGGTCAACATACTCAACTGCTTCACTTATCTGGAGAGTTTCATCAGTGCTGATGGCCTGGTGTGTGACGAAATCTTGGCACCGATACAGAACGCTCGACAGACTTTTGCCAACCTACGTTACTCATGGCGTAGACGAGATATCCGTTTGCTGAACTAAAGGACGAGTGTACTGCGCAGTGGTTCGCTCCGTCTTACTTTATGGCTGTGAAACATGGCCAGTGAGATAGTATAGATATTCGCAGGTTACTGGTTTTCGATCATAGGTGTCTTCGAAGCATTGCTCGAATATTGTGGGGACAACAAAGTGAGCAATGCTGTTATTGGGAAAACGGGTGCTAGGTAAGAATGGCAGATCAATCGATGAAGTAATGAGACTTCATCAGCATTGAGGCTGGTTGGGACACGTGTTGCGTAGCCTAACCACCGACTGCCTCGACGAGCTATGTTTTGTAGTGTATGGAATAGGTTGGAAGAAAGTTAGGGGCGGCCAACCAAAACATGACAGAAATCCATGAAAGTCATTGACAAGTGGACTGATAATAATAATCGATGGTTATAGACCTTGAATGACATGGCTCAAAACCGTTCTCAATGGCGCCAGTGCATTTATTCTTTGTGTTCTCTCAAATCCCAATCTTCTGGATTCTTCAACAGTTTTGACTTTCTAAACTTTTCTCACTGAATCATGCTTCTTGAATAGTATCTTCTAATCCTAACCTCTCCGATTACTTCTAATTCCCTTACTACCTCTTCTACTATTGGATTTGAATTGACAATTACTTCTCTGTGCTGATGTGGTATGGCGACATGAACTGATGTACTTACGTGCGAAGTTATACGTTGCATCTGACTGACTTGTTCTTTGCATCGAAGTCATAGATCAATCTGTTTAATTTAGTTTTCTGAACAAACTTACAATTGATACCAAGAGAGAGAAAATAAACCCACAGATATCGCGATTGTCACATTGATATAATGATAATTATTATTATTATTATTATTAATTTTCTGATCAAATTTTATTATAAAACCCACATTGAAAATGCATGTGTACAATAATTAGGGAAAAAGAAAAGACTAATATAATATAATAGTAGGAATATAACAGCGAAGCTCAACCAACATATAATAACACGTTAGTCATAGTAATAATAATAATAATAATAGCAATAATAATCAGTAGTGTATACAATTATCATAGAAAACGGAAAGAAAACCTGGTTAGTAAGTAATGAAACAATCGAGAAGAAACAATGATAATGCTGATATAAAGGTGACGAAGAGAGATGATGATGATGATTGATAGGGTGGTAAAACTATACAACACTACATAACATCTATACACTTCAATAAGTTGTACAATTTTTTTCTCAATGTTTTAACATGTATTGTATCTACAATTCAACTAAGTATTATAGAACACCAGAAGTAAGCGGATGCACAATGCAAGAGAAGAAAAATTAACAAGAAAAAAGAAATAGAAATAAGCATTTTAAAAAAAGAACACAATATGCTCGCGCACATTTAAAATGAATTCTTACAATTGACTAACGTAATTCTGTATACAACATAGCATAGCATAGCACAGCATAATGATAATAATAAGTAGTAATAAGTAGTAAATTTGAATAAAAATGAAAAAAAAAAAAGAAAGTCCTAAATAGCTCTGTTTTATTACTCTCAATAATTTTGTCTGTTTGTATTTTTCTGAAGTAATAATATGATTGTGAGGAGTAAAAAATATATGAGCACACACACAACAAATTCAATGAAACTACTATACACATATGTTTAATTTTTAAAAAGTAAATAATGATTGATTGATTTTATTTTTTTTCTGTACAATTGAATAAGGGAAAGGAAAGGAAAGAGAGTGCTGCAAATAAGAAGAAGAATAAAGAGGCACTACAATACTTTGGTATCTTTAGTTAAATCCCAAGATTGTAGTAGAAAGACAACAAATTCATAAGTCCCAATCATTATACATGAATTAGGTACTTGACGAATATAATGTGTTGCCATACCACGATATAGACCACTTAAACCTTCTTCTTTGCCAACTGAATGAAGTGTACGAAAAAATCCTTTATACTGACCAGTTTCTTCACGTAAACGTGTTCGAGCTACTTCTGTTTAAGGGGGGAAAAGATGGGAAATTATTGTAAACGAATTTGTTAAAATAATATATCAAAAAATTAAAACCAGTCTATTCATTTTTCTGTGTCACAGACACTCATCAACAGTAAAATCCCATGCATGAATCGAATTGTCCCGTCAATATTAAAAAAAATGAATCGAATAATTATTTCTCATGTATTAAAAAAACACACTAGGTAGGGAGGGGTCTTGAAAGAAACATGTACAGACATTTTTCAGTTGGCTGCCAGTAGATTATTTTCTTTATTTCAAAAACACCATCACATGACCAAAATTTGGCCTTGTGACATAGGTCTAGGTCACATCCATTCACAATGTCTCAAACTTTACAAGTAATGTCAAACTGTTTACAGTCAGTAAGTCATAGACTAGATTTTGGAACTGTATATATAATATTTGTTGTGGTTGTCAAGTTATTTATTCAGTGAATCATGGTTATATATTATGAGTTTTTAATGACCTATCGTATTAACACATACTCTTCAGGGTTAATAATCATGTGATATGGTCAAAGGTTAGACTCAGTAACTGTTTCACCTGACTTGTCTACCATCATCATCATCATCATTACAGCAGGCAATCTTCAGCTTTATTTTGCATATTTTACGTATGCCTCGCAATCAAGTGTACACAAGCGTTAATTTAAGTTTATTGATCGACAGAGTGTTCTGCTGCTAAAAAAACAAACAATGTCCTTATATTTCTCTCTCTCAAGGTCATTCCTATATATTGCTAATTATCAACTAAGACAGTGAAAAAAAATTAGATGTAAAATAAATTTCAAAGTGAAACAATTTCAGGATTATTTTATTTATTAAGCTGCTAATCAATGATTAAAGTTGTCTATAATTGCCTAAATATAATAAAAAATCTAAAACGGAAATTGAAAATAGTATGAAATTAGGAATTAGTATAATTCAGTAAACAAATAAATGTACGCCACCGTAATCTAGGGCTTTTTATCCATGCTAATAATCATAATCAATAAAAGTTAACTGTAGCTCTGTACTACTCTAATCGGATGAAATATCCATTAATCTGAGTTTGAACATGGTCTCTGTAAATAGTTGTAGTGGTGGTGGTGCTGAGGTACTCACTCAATCGTCTGACTTCCAACTACTGGGTTGCAAGTTTGAAGTTCAACTAATTAGGTTTAGCAACTGGGTAGAACTGTTGGCAGTTAAGTATTTATTATCTGATCCAGTTACATTTATTGCACAGTATTCTTAGATGAAGTATTGAAACTTAATCAGTTGAGGTGGTTGGGACATGTGCTACGAATTCTAAACTACCTACTGTCTCGTCAAGCTATGTTTTATGGTGTAGGAATAGGTTGGAAGAAATCTGCCGGTGGCCAAACCGAAACAGGGCAGAAATTGATGAAGTCACTGACAAGTTGACTAAGTCATGTTGGTAGCTACTTGGTTGGGGTCCGCGAGATGAAAGTCACCGATGGTTAGAGACCTTGAATGATGTGGCTCAAATCCGTTTGCAATGTCGCAAATGCATCCACTCTTTGTGTTCTCTCATATCCTAATCTTCTGGATTCGTCAACACCTCTATCTTTGCCTTTCTAACCTTATCTCATTGAATTATACTTTTTGAATGTTATCTTCGAGCCCTAATTTTCTCAATTACCGCTAATACTTCTACTATCTCTACTACTATGGGATTGAACTGACAGTTGCGTCTCTGTGCTAATGCAGTATTAGCAACCTGAACTGATGTGCGTACCTACGTACAAAGTTCTACGTTGTAACTGACTGACTGACTAACTGACCTAGTATTCTATGGATACTTTACTTCATCGGATTAGCTCTCAAACGGAAACACAGCTGGAACAGGCATGTATTAATATACCAAAACAAACACGCTAAGTTAACTAAGTTAAAGTTACATTTTGTGCATCTACGGCCTTTACTACACAGGATAATAGTTGGCTGAAAAATGCACTACTGATCAACATGCTTCGGCATGATTCATCTGCCCTGCTAAAATTAGAGCTCATAAACAAGGTACACCTGGTAAGTCAGTTAATTGATTCGTTGAAAATCAAGTATACAAACAAAAATTACTATTACTATTCATGTTACTACTACTACTACTACTACTACTTACCATGAGGATAAAGAGCTGTAATAGCAATTGCTTTTGAACAAGCACTAGCAATCATACACAAAATCATATCTTTTGAAGCAGATAATTTACTGCCACCACTTGAACCACGAAAATCTGATGCTTTTTGTGGCATATAATTATCATCATCATTGATAGAAATAGATTTTGCCGACATTGGAACAGAATCATCGCTAAGTGTTGTTAGTTTACGTTTATGCTCTCGCCAAAGTAGTTCCGATTTAAAATTTTCATAGACAACAAAATTCAAAGCTGTTTCTAATGAACCAAAGTATGATGCACTTACACCACGATAGAAACCACGGAATCCATCACGTTTCCAAGTGTTACGTATTACTTGTGAAACTGTAATAGGTGTATGACCTGGCCTATAAATAAAGAATGAAAAAAAATATATATGATGTATTAGAAATGTTATATCTGTTCTACTGTTCATTACTTTAATAAATGTAGGTTATGAGAATTAAAATCTCCATATATCACTGCAAACAAACTTATACTACTATAAACGGGAAATTCTTTGGTGAACAGAATTTAATGCATAATTTGACAATTGAATAGTAGTATACAATAATCGAGTCAGTTGTTTTCAGACACTTTAGTATGCGACAGCTCTTGATATACTAATCAACTGTTTAAACTTATCTAAGTAAAAAATGCTTTGAACATACAGTCTAATTTTGAAACCATCAATCAATCAATGTTAGACCACCATTAGAAACCTGGAAGCACTGGACGGCCGTTTCGTCCTGGTATGGGACACACAATACCGAAGGTCCTTGGTTCGGATCCTGCGGGGTGCAGGAGTCGTGGATGCGCACTGCTGAGGAGTCCCATACCAGGACGAAACGGCTGTCCAGTGCTTCCAGGTTTCTAATGGTGTTCTAACATTGATCGATTGATGGTTTCAAAATTGTGTAACTTAACAATCTTCACAACCCCGTAATGTATAGTTTAATGTTTATTTGACTACTTTTGATATACTACTTAGAACTGACTTATAAATGTAGCATGAAATGTAAAGTGAAATGAAACGCAAAAACTAATTAGAAGTAAAGTGATATTAAATGCAAAGCTGAGAAGTTCAGCGATATTTCCTGGCAGTAAATTTAATTATCTGAAGTATAGAAAAGTGTATGTTATTAGGACCACGTAATCAGTAATTCAGGGCGTTACAAACCTTGAGGTCCAAAGGTATGGTGGAAAAAATTTGTAGCTAGGGTGGATGATTGAGGCGGAGTTTTGTTCTCTGAGTTGGATGTTTCGGTTGTGGAGCTTTCATTGTTCTTCTGAACAACATCATCAGCACAAACTTCAGATAGAAGTTAAGCATTCGAATCTTTCCACGTATGACCCGTACTTTGTTCTGTGAACCTCGATCTTGACTGCTTGTTATCGACCTTACACCTGTCGTTTATACAGGAATTGAATGAGACTTACTGAAGTAGTCAGATGAATCCACCAAATGTCTCAATATGTTTGAACTTTCTCTTGCCAAGTAGTATGTTGGGGGTTCAGTTACATCCCTCCCTGGAGATTCAAATCGATAACAATGAACTGATCATATCTTTCGAGGTAACAGCTTTATTCACTCCAATAGAACCAAGCTTAGCTAAAGAAACTTTATCCCTGCTCTTCAGCAACGACACAAATCTCCCAAAGTACACGAAACTTGAGAGTCAAAGTCTACTAGAACTCATCAATTTATGCTTAACAACATATTTCCAATTCAACAAATCTACGAACAAACGAAAGAAACACTAATATCAAGACTTATCGCAGAAGACGTGATGCAGAGACTAGAAGTATAGATTTTACCAGTGAGTGAGTTCACTATGTAGACGACATATTTGTCATTATTAAAAGGAACGAGATGGAGAACATTTAAAATCGAGTCAACAATGTCTTTGATGACATAAAATTTACAATGGAAAAGGAATCTAACAGCAGTCCATCATCCCCGGGGGTATTAATCACCAGAGCTGACACAGGAAGCCAACCCGCACAGATCTCATCCTCAACTACAGTAGCAACAAACCAAGAACTCACAAAATCAACTGCGCACAAACTTTGTCCAAGCGAGCGAAAAGACGCTGCAGCACGCATGAAGCACAAAAAAACGAGGAAAAATATCTGATGGCTATCTTCAAAAGAACAGTTATTTTCGTAACTTCATCAAAAAACATCGACTGAAACCATCAACAGCAGCGAAATCAAGTACATGAACCAACAAACAGATCATTCTATCATACATAAAAGACATCGGGACTTACAGCAAGTCTACTGCGACCATTTGGAATAGGCGTAGCACACAAACCAACAGAATCACTTTAATCAATCCTATGTAGACCAAAGGACAAAATGACAAAGGAAGAAAAACCAAGTATCATCTACAAAATAAATTGCTCAGGTTGTAAGAAACACTACATAGGACAAAGTGGATGTCTTCTTCAGCTTCGTTTACGTGAACACCAATTGGGAGTCAAACGCCAAGACATTTCTTCCCTTATATCAATGCATACGGATAACTATGGACATACGTTCGTTGGAATATTTGATAGGGGGAGTACAAAGAACACTACAGAATATTTAGAAGCTTGGCACTCAGGTCATTCAGCAATCAACAAACAGATCAAAAGGGGCAATCGATCAAAATAAAGGTGCAAACAACGACAGGTATAAGGTCAATGACAAACAATCAAGATCGAAGTTCACAAAACAAAGTACGGGTCATACGTGGAGAGATTTAAATGCTTAATTTCTATCTGAAGTTTGTGCTGATGATGTTGTTCAGTAGAACAATGAAAGCTCCACAACCAAAACATCCAACTCAGAGAACCAAACTCCACCACAAGCATAGTGCAGAATTATCGGAGGCGTAGTACAGAACGACTCTGGTGCTTAAGTGTTATTTTATTACTCCAGAGAACAGATAATGGCAGATATATGCTTAGATTAGCACCGCTTTAAGCAAGTACCAGCTTTGTATGTCGCCATATTCGACACCAAATCAATATTAAACGGAAAGATTTCATATAGTAATTAGTCAGCGGTAGCCAGTCGATTTTAAAAACAGAAATAGAAACTGTCAGCGAATTGTAGTGAAAAATTGAGGAAAGTCAATGGATTTCCACAGATTTGAAATTTCGCTGGAGAGACTCAACCTGATCAGCTATATGCACGAGGACAAACAGTTGATCAGTAAATAAACCAAAAAAAACAAACAAGACAGTTAAAAAACAACACTGGACACATAATTACATGTAAGAAAGAAACTGCATTTAAAATGATCCCACTTAGTGAAACTATCAGTAGTCTCACCATCAGGCCAGGAAACGAGAACGATGGTCCAAAAGTCTTTGACCAATCCCCAAGTACTTCTTAGTTTTCCGCCGCCCACCAACATCCATGATATTACCCAGTGTCCTATCATGGCTAGTACATGAACAGGCTAGGAAAAGAGGCCAAATTAAGCCATGAAGTTTATCGATACGATCACTAATTGTTATCTAAGCCTTTGTGGGACTTGTTTTTCTGTTTTGTTTTTATTTTTTACTTATTTAAACACATAAATATTGGTACAAAGAGACATCAAAATAAAAAAGCGCCACACATGTCATTGGATCTGAATGAGCTGGGATACTGTTCGTGCCCAAACCGAAGCAGGATCACTTTCTGAGTCTTTAGTCTAGACGTCTAATCCGCAAAACAGTGGAGCAACGTTAGTAAATACGAGACCATAGTAACCAGTGATTAAGACTAGGTACATACACTATTTGTTCTATCAGGATCCCAAAGTTCATATACCACACCAGTTTGGAGTCACGGTTCTCCAACTCTTCTGGTTGGACCCTGCGCACCCACCAATCCAGTTTTGGCACCGGACATGTTTTTCGTCCTCCCGACTTCATAGACAAAAACCCCGCAGCGAGTAAGAGTTATCTAGTAGTAACTATACACGCGTACCTATGTGACAGCATATCTATGGGAAAAGCGAACTCTTTCCACTCACGAGCTTACCACGGCATTTGGAGGATTGTTATTAAGAACCCATGAGATAACTGCAACATTAAACGACCTGACTCAAATTTCACTGTAGTGATGCAAACAAATTGGTATTCTAAGTCGTTATCAGAGTTTATTGGATCATATTTTCTGTTTAGGTTCTCACAACCATCGGAGTAATCTTTATTTTCGCTTTTTCTCCTGTTGATTCCGTCTGACTATGTTACCAGGAGGTAGCCCAACTCGAACCAACACTTCTGCTAAATCCTACATCAGTTACGCGTAGTTATCAATTCATGTCCGAAGTACGTTGGCGATTTGATAACAAGAAATTATTTCAGAATGGGACAGTGCATAGACATCATAAACCCAAGCATAAATCTAAAAACTGATAAAATGGAAGATGTTTGATTTGCATTTGCAATCCTAAACAGAATGCTAAACTAGTAGATAATAGGACCAATACACCAAACCCAAGGCTGGAGGACACTAGAAATCACGATATTCGATTACGTGATGCACACGAATCAATTATCTAACTAATAATTAGGGAAACCAACTGTGGATTAGAATCAGAATTTAGTCACACAAAGTACAAAACAGTTAACAATGGAATCGATTTTTACATATAAAAGTCTGTTATATTTACTACGATCAGGTAAGTCCATCTTTGAGCATTAGTCAATCATATCCTACCATCTCTGATACATCAGTCAGTCAGATGCAACGTAGAACTTCGTACGTAAGTACATCAGTTCATGTTGCCATACCACATCAACACAGAGATGTAATTGTCAATTCAAATCCAATAGTAGTAGATGTAGTAAGGGTATTAGAAGTAATCGAAGAGGTTAGGATTAGAAGATATTATTCACGAAGTATGATTCAGTGAGAAAAGTTTAGAAAGTCAAAACTAGAGGTGTTGAAGAATCCAGAAGATTAGGATTTGAGAGAACACAAAAAATAAATGAACCAACGCCATTGGGAACGATTTTGAGCCATGTCAGACACATTGTTTTAAATTAAAGATACAATAACTATTGATATTGGATAAAATAGACTTAAGATGATGAGAAGACTACAAAAATAAAGCTAATAAAAATACAAAATGAACAAGCACTGAAGTACTTCAACTGATAACCCATAGTTATAATTCACTTAGTTGGCGTAAAAATGACTGATCACATCATATCCATGGGCATATATTGTTGTTGGAAAGATACCAAGAAAATGGTTACAAGATTATCACTTTTAAATAATTCAGAAAAATACCTAAACATGACTATTAGTAAGATATATGAACCTGCGACCTTGAGATGAGAATTCAGTTACAATTCTAAATACAAACTTAATTCACTTTAACTCTCACTTGAAAAAAAATTGACCAAGAAACAATTTAATGCTTGAAAAAGTAAGAAATTACATTTACTGCAAGCAAATGTAACACATCTCTCTTACGTACTGTAAATTCTGATCAAAAATGAATTAATGCAAAATGTACAATACCAATACATCATCATCATCAGCAGTAGCAGCCGAAAGCAGCACAAGCTATTGTCAGTCAGCTGCAACGTAGAACTTTGGACGTAAGTACATCAGTTCATGTTGCCATACCACATTAGCACAGAGAAGTAATTGTCAATTCAAATCCAATAGTAGAAGAGTTAGTAAAGGTTTAAGAAGTAATCGGAAAGGTTAGGATTAGAAGATATTATTCAAGAAGTATGATTAAATGAGAAAAGTTTAGAAAGTCAAAACTTGAGGTGTTGAAGAATCCAGAAGATTATGATTTGAGAGAACACAAAGAATAAATGCACCAGCGCCATTGAGAACGATTTTGAGCCATGACATCCAATGTCTCTAACCATTGATTATTATCATCACGCGGACCCCAACCAGGTAGTCGACAACTACCGACATGGCTAAGTCCACTCGTCAGTGACTTCATAGATTTCTCCCATGTTTTGGTTCGGCCGCCCCTAACTTTCTTCCAACCTACACTACAAAACAAAGCTCGTCGAGGCAGTCGGTGGTAAAGTATACGCAACACATGTCCCAACCACCTCAACTGATGAAGTTTCACCACTTCATCTATTGATCTGCCATTGTTACCTAGCATCTGATTCCTAATAATAGCGTTGCTCACTCGGGTGTCCCACGATATACGAGCAATGCTTCGAAGACACCTATGATCGAAAACCAGTAACCTACGAATATCTTCTACTCATACTGGTTATGTTTCGCATCCATATAGTAGGACGGAGCAAACTACTGCACAGTACACTCGTCCTTTAGTCAGCAAACGGATATCTCGTCTACGCCATAAGTGACGCAGGTTGGCAAAAGCCAATCGAGCCTTCTGTATCGGTGCCAAGATTTCGTCACACACACCAGGCCATCAGCACTGATGAGACTCCCCAGATAAGTGAAGCGGTCTACACGTTCGACTACTTCACTCCCTATCACTAGTTCAGGTGCCGATGAAACCCAATCTTGAAGCAACATTTTGCATTTCGAGGGGAAAGAAAATTGGAACCAAAAAAAAATGGGGGGGGGGCGATATCTCACTAAGAGATAAATAAAGTGATATTGGTTAAGCTTTATTATTCCAATGAAGATAGGTTCTTTTTATTGTTTTGTGAAATAAGTAAATGTCTTAGTGTATATCGTCGTTGTGACATGATTCAAAATCAATGAGACTTTTCACAAAAAGAAACACGCTTAACTGATTTTAATAGAAGTAACTAAATTCACATAATAACACCACTGATTATATATAGAAAATAAGATGTCAACGCTTTGACTCAGATGTTTGCAACTTTTCAATATGAGAGCAGATATTCAGTCAGTCAGTCAGTTGCAACGTAGAACTTCGTACGTATGTATATAAGTTCATGTTGCCATACCCACATTAGCGCAGAGATGCAAATGTCTAATCAACTCCATAGTGATAGAGATAGTAGACGTATTAGTGGTAATAAAGAAGACTAGGGTTTGAAGATACTATTCAAGAAGTATAATTCAGTGGGATAAGGTTAGAAAGAACAAGGTAGAGGTGTTGAAGAATCCAGAAGATTAGGATTTGAGAGAACACAAAGAATAAATGCACCGCCGCCATAGCAAACGATTCTGAGCAATGTCGTTCAAGGTCTCTAACCATTGGTGACTTTCATCTCAAGGACCCCAACCAGGTAGTCTACATCTACCAACATGGTTCAGTTCAGCAGTCAGTGACTTTATAGATTTATACCATGTTTTGGTTTAGCCGCCCCTACCTTTCTTTCAACCTACTCCTACACCACAAACCATAGCTCGTCAAGGCAGTCGGTGGTTATTCAGGATGATAAACCAAATGAAATTTAAGAAATTGCTTATATCACAACGCATTATGCTATACGATTTAAATGTCTTGGTTTGAAAATAGTTAAATGTGTTGACGATCTCACTCATCTTAAAGGTCTCACCAGCTCTAATTAGTTAATATTAGACAAAACCACGGTACAAATTCAGAAAGCTCAACTAGCCTTTATTAACTCATGTCACTTGTAGTGTAGGCAAGATTCTCGCTTATCATAAGAATCGTTCGCAACTTTACAGACCTATTCATTTTTTTTATCTTCAATTATAGTATCCTTTTACATAAATAACTTTTTAACTTATCCTCTTGAACTATATTCCTAACGCTTATTCTCTCACGGTCAAGCCCACCAAATTGATTCCTGCCTGTTTCGCTAGTTATTTTTTGAATCTGATCTTGTCGCACCGATAGAGTATAGCAACTTGAACCAACGCATATTTGTGCTAGGCTCTAAGTTAATGATGACCAAGTGACTTATAAACTTGAACAATTTATAAACAGCAATATAATTAAATTAAAAGTTGGGACTTCGTTATGGGCATTGTTTACAATTCACAATGATTCCTTTCATCTAGTTAGTCAGTCACAAACAACGTGGAACCTGATGTAGATATGCCGAGAACTAACACAGACGAATAACGAGATATCAATATTAATGAGACAAAAAGATACATTGATTAGTTGTAAATAACTGGGAAAAGTGAATCTATCTAACGTTATTCAACTGTATTTTATTAATCTTGTCAATACACAAAGCAGTTTAGATAGTTTAGACAGGTAGGGTATAGACAAGACCATCTTTTTTCAAAACCCTTATAATGTGAATTTATCTACTCTACTCCAGCCATATTTTCTACGCTTGATGTTTCTTCTGTAATTCATCTAGTTAATTTCATGTTTGTGGTTGTTTGGTATGATAACTAAAATCGTTGCCCGTCTGTCAGTTGTAACTGACTGAATGACCAGGTCTTATATTGATTATAATTGAATGATTGAAGCCAGTTTTCCTGCACTACATAAAAAGATTTTACAACCAAACATGAAGTCTATAACTGACAAATCTATTATTCTACTTATAAAAACAGAAAGGGAACAAAATGATCAAGTATCAATGATTAAAATTCCCAAGTATAATTTGTTAATAATACAAAGCATTGTCTATACTCGCCATAATTAAGTAGTCAAATTCACAATTCACACGCATAGAAATGTGTACAACAGCTAACGTATGATTTCTTGTGAAAGTTACTGAACAGGTGTGATTATTAGTAAGTGAGTAAGTAGTAGTGGATCACTGGTCTTAATCTTTGGAAATTTAGATTGATTTCAGGAACCGAAATCTCCTACTATAACTAAGCAGAATGTAAATAAATGGGTACATAAAACTGTTGAGATTCATGTTAACTATGCTTCTTTATAACTTTCATTCGCTGTTTTTAAATGGACTGTATCTCTAGGAGAGTTATGATTGAAGTTAAATGAAAACTTGTATCAACAGGGGATTCAAACTCGGGGATTCAGCTATTTAATTTGGGGATAGAATTCGATCACAAATCGATATCAAGATGAGAAATTACTAAAAACTAAGTAATCATTCACTATACTTTTGTATTACTCAGCGGTGTGAACTGTTAATTTCGTACGAGACTGAATCTAGAATTTCTAAACTCTGTGTTGAGCACGATATTACTAAGCACACTACTGAGGAGTTCGAAATCGGGCACTAGATCTATCGTTTTAAATGATTTTCCTAACTGATTCTCAATTCGCAACATAAATATTACTTTGACAGGTTACTCAAATCACTATATAAATGAATTCAAATGCAGTGATCTTAGGACAAATGAATACAAATGAACATGTCTTGATATAAAGTATCATTGGTGTAGACAATAAACTGGTCTACAAGAAACTGTAGGAAAAATAAACAAATTAAGCATCCTATCGCTTTCTTAATGAATAATAAGCATAATAGGTGTTTCATATTTACAATGAATACTGATGATTCCACCTATTCCTGTTACTCAAAACACAACAGGAAAATGAATAAGGTGATTTTTTATCAATTTTTATCAATAACATTAAACAACAAATATATAATTTCAACTTGCCGTGAATCTAATTGAAGTCTTGTTTTTACAAACCAAATAGGATTGGTTAAAGAAGAAGCGGTTATACCTGTAAAAGTAATTAATACCAATAGAAAGAAGATTTAGTAATTAGTCAGTGAATCTAAAAAATATTAATGTTAAACTAATTGTGAAAAGAAAAGAAAATAGAGAAAATATGTGAACAAGAAAAAAAAAGGACTTTGAAAATTGAACTGACAGCTGACAGGATATATCATCCCAAACAGGTATCATGAACAAATCACTGGAGTAATAATGAACCCAAACAACGATCAATAAACAATATGCAGAGATGTGATGATAAATTAAAACGAGAAAATGGAAAGTGAATAAGACAATTTCAGAATCACTTCAAAAAAATAAGAAATGAATCTACATGCATCATTGAGTTCAACTTTGAGCAATTTCAAATAATGTACCTAAACATAACATTTGAAACACTAATGTTAATAAGTTTTCTCTGATCCATAATTTAAATAAGGAGAGTTTTGTATTTTACTGTGTAGACCTTATTCTATTAGTCTGATCAGATCAATGTGACTAATCTCTACGTTTAACTTAGTTAAAAGGGTAAATTTAATCACAGTGTAATTAATATCCTTCTTTTTTCTGACCTTTAATCCACCATCACGTTGAAGTGAACTTTAAGTGCAGAGGTAGCAATTAAAGCTTAGATCATGAACGAAATCCTAGCTGCTTGGTTGATTTTAAATGTGATTCGACTGAAGTAGCCATTGATATATATATATATATATATATATATATATATATATATATATATGCATTACGGGGTTGTGAAGATTGTTAAGTTACACATTTTTGAAAACATGAATCGATCAATGTTAGACAACCATTAGAAACCTGGAAGCACTGGACGGCCGTTTCGTCCTGGTATGGGACTCCTTATGGTTTCAAAAATGCGTAACTTAACAACCTTCACAACCACGTAATTCAAATTACCTGTGCTCACTAGTGACTAGCTTTTTGACGAATCTTCTCCGAGTTCTAGTGGGAAGACATGACTAGTGAAGTTCAACCAGTAACTACCGAAGACTGTGTATGAGGTTGCACAACTCCGTGAATTGATCAAGTTAGACATTAACGCCGTTAGGTACCGGCTCAGTGGTCCGATGGAAAGGCGTTCGCCTACAATACCGAAGGTCCTGGGTTCGAATCCTGTAGGGTGCAGGAGTCGTGGGTACGCAATGCCGAGGAGTCCCATACCAGGACGAAACGGCCGCCAGTGCTTCCAGGTTTCTAATGGTGGTCTAACATTGATCGGTTCATCGTTTCAAAAAAATAAATACATATATGTATATATGGGTCACTTACTGAGTACAGGGTTATTTACGTAGTTTTGAGTCACGCCAAATATTAATAGCGATGTAACCTGACTGCCCAAACCGAAATAGTTAGAGTTATGCCTAAACACTGAAAACGTTTTTGCTTAAACCCAATTACAACAGAGTTGTTGCTCCACAAAGAACTACTCGCTTGACAAGATTTAATGGGTTGTCAGTACCAACCTATTTCATACACTATCAAAATTTAATGAAGAAATAGAAAATGTGTTAAAAAAAAACACTTACTTCCAATTCCAGCAGCACATAAATAAACAAGTGAAGAACCAGATTGGAAATATTTTTCAAAGAATAACTGTCCGTTATGATATGCACAAAAGTATATACCTCTATTGAAAAAAATCAAACATTAATTACGTCAGTCGTCTGAAAATTGTAGTAATGCATTAATTAACTCTTTTATCACGTGTCGGAAGAATAAATATAAGCTGTTAATCAATAGGACTAAATAGAAGGCACTTTTTATGGACGAATGGATTTATTCTTCTGTAACCACGATAAAGGTCGATCGCTTCGATTTCTCATGTGGTTAGAAACCCTACTAAATCCTGAAATATGGTAAATGTACACCTTAACAACTTAAATAGGACTTGGTTTATATCATGTAAAACAAATAGTTCACAAGATGCAACTTGATGCTTGTATGAACATTTTTAGTGGGAGTAAATAGTGCGAAACCAGACCCGATTATACAGCTTAGAATTGCCTACGAATAAACTTGATTATGAAAGCATTATAAGATTCGAATCAAGACTTTTTACTATTATCGAACAAAGCTCACAATTAGGCATAATTTGCGTTCACATTTCTGTATCTATTGGTCAGTTTTGCTGTGAAAAGTCAAGATTAATTTGATCTCAGGAGTTTTGGTAAAAATAGATATTTCGCTAAACGAGTCTGCAAAGTAAATCTAACTAGTTATATATAAGAAATATTTGTAAGACCTATAAAAGCTAACCAATGCTATTATTTAACTCTCTCAACCATAGATACATGTGCTTATCAATGACTGAAGTTCCGTGATAATCAATAACCTTACTACCGAATAAATGAGAAGGGACTTTACAGATTATGAATAAATTCCCGAAGACAAGGTCGATTTTCAAATCAAGTAGACACAACAAACAACTTTTTAAGGATCTTATAGAACACTCATACTTACCGTGTTGGCATCACTCCAACAAGGGTAGGGACGAGACCTTTAAAAAGAGCTGTAGGTCCTTCATAACGGCAAATATCAATTAACGAACGAAGAATGACAGACCGCCGAAGTCCGCGGTGTTTGACTTTTGAGGAATCAAAAGATGTACTGGAAACGTCAAGTACTGAGGGGTTTGATGAACTGATATGTGAAGTTATTGATTCGTGATTGGGATTAAGTTTTCGAACAGATTTAGAATCAGATTGTTTTAAACCATAGAACATGCACCGTATGAGAGAAAGACGGTGGCTATGATTTTGTACGTCTTTAGGCTTGGATGAAGAAAGTACAATGCCCTTAGAAGACTGTAGACGAACTTTTACAACTTCTAATGGGCAAGTTAAGACTGCTCCCAATGTTCCCCCGATGGGTTATAATATAGTATACGTTAACTGAAGTACTGATAAACTGCTGATTATGGGGTCTCACTTCATGAAAGACTCAAGTTGCCCACTGCATCATTTTTATACCTTATATATCTAGTATTAATTACTTTTCAGGTGTAAGCACGTTCTACCCCTAAAAGTATATATCCACTATGTTATACAAACAACTGTTGGTCCTGGCTAGTAGTAGAACCAACGAATGTCCATGTTATCTATTATAGGATATGTGGCCTTGGAATGTAATTAAGTTGTTCGAGTTTGTATTAGGTAGCCGTCGGTACAGTACGGTCACCGGTCGGTAGATCGATCTATATACGTTGGATGGATATATAGTGTTATTAGAACATTGGGGAGTCCTAAGGTCTTAACTTGCGCAATTGAGAAGTTATTGTAAGGGCTTGGTTACTTTCTTTCTAGACTTCACATAGTCGAAGCCTTCTTTATAAACTATCGAGACGAACTGGGAGAAATGCAAAAGTGTTCGATTTGTCACTAGGTACGCTTGAACTATTACGGGTTCACCTTAGTCGATAAACGCGAACGAGACAATGAACCAGCGTCCAGGTAGGCTCCCCTGATCCGAAGTCTTACTAAGTGTAGAAAGTATATTCTACAAACACCTTGCAAGCACAATGTAATAAAGCAGACAAATCTCGTTTATTTATACATCATAGAAACGTCCTTGGGACAGTCACAAAAATAGCACACTAAAATACACAGCAGCCAATCACAGCAAGGGATTTCCCCGGTGGGAAATAAAATCTCAAGGTCATACGACCAGCCCATGCTTGCGAACGCGAAATCAAAAATAAGGCATTTATCCCTAACAAAAAGTAACTAGTCTATCGCATAGAACACTAGTCTCTGATCCTATTCTACGAAACTACATGAAAGAAATATTTGGAGTTTGGATAGCCATAAAAAATTTTGGAGAACGAAACTAACAAATTTAACTAACAGATAAGAGTAGTTCTCTTTTCAGTGAATTCATTTTCAAAGCTGCTCAATCAAAAGGTGTATTGTCTTTTTACACATGTTGATAATCTCAATAAAATTTTCCCAAACATGCTAACAGTGAGACAAATTAGATATAAAGGCGCATAAAGGATTATTTTGATTGAGGGAATCAATAATAATAATAATAATAATAATAATAATAATGATAATATTGGTGTTGCTGTTGTTGACAGCTTGAATATTGAATGTGTAGATAGATTGAATAAATATTAACTAGTAAAGGGAAGGCTCAGTGTGATAAGATAAAGTGTTTGCAGTGAGATGAAGACAGAAATGAAACAGATGGTTGTGAGTAAAAAGAGATCAGTAATCGAAAAATCATTAGATCAAAACGGAGTCTACATTCAAAATCATCTATAATGTAAGTAGAAAGATGGAAATGTCATTTGGCTAACGAAGCATTTATTTCATATCTGGAAAAACAAGTGAATAGGTGTATAAAAGAAACTGGAATAATCATTTCTTCTACCATGGTCTTCATCACCTCGTGACCGTTTTTTATCTTCCTCTCTTCACACATAACCATCTGTTTCCTTTCTATCTTGATCTCAGCACAAACATTTTATCTTATCACTCTGGGAATTTCCTTTTTCCGGTTAATATTTATTTAATCTATCTACACATTCAATATTCAAGCTGTCATTAACAATATTAGTGTTTTTATTATTAATTTCCTCAATCAAAATAACCCTTTATGCCTTTATCTGATTTGTCTCGCTGTCAGCATGTTTAGGAAAATTTTTATTATTAACATTATTGTGATTATCACCATTTGAAAAAAACAATATACTTTTTGATTGTGCAGCTTTGAAAATGAATTCACAGAAAGGAAAACTACTGATTGCTGAAGTGATCTTTATTATGTTGTCTCAACAGTGATATTCCGTTTACTTAATCCGATTACACATTGAAATCATCAATCAATCATTGTTGGACCATGGTTAGAAATTTGGAAGCACCGCTTGGCTGTTTCGTCCTGATATGGGACTCGTTAGCACTGCGCGTCCATGACTCCTGCACCTAGTAGGAGTCGAACCTAAGACCATTGGTCTTTTGTGCAAAAGCGCCTAACCTCTGGATCACTGGGCTATTAATGTCTAACTCTGATTAATCTAGAGATTTTATTGATAAGTCCCATACTAGGACGAAACGGCCGTCTTTTAGTGCTTCTGGGTTTCCATTGATGGTCTAACAATGATTGATTGATGATTTCAGTGTGTAAAAACGCTGATCTTCATAACTCGAACTGAAAAAAATTAATCCTATTAACTTTTAATAGTCAAAGAACTTTTAGCTGTAATTCATATTTCATTGATCTGTAAAGTACTATTCACTTGATAAAACGATGATTATTTTATTATTAATATATAAAAAAGATCAATGAATACTAATCAAATTATTTTTTAAAAAGGATCATTTCACTCAGCACAAAGAGCATGATTTCATTGATTCACTTTTTTTTGTCATGTGACACATGAATAACCAGTCTATATAAAAATATAAATAACGACAAATATTTGAACAATGAACAATGAAATAGTGGTGACCTTAACTTAACCGCTTTAATATGTAATTTTAAAGAATGCAATATTTGTAAAATGAGATAGGATATGTATGGTGTATCTGTTCTCTAATGTTCAATTCATTTACTGACGGAATGCTTTACATAAGAGCATAATTTTCATTAATGATTTCTCAATTAGAGTTATGGAGATGAGTGTTTGTTGCATATTAAAATGATCAGTCAGTCAGTCATTGTTAGACCATCATTGGAAACCTTGAAGCATTGGACGGCCGTTTCGTTCTGGTATGAGGCTACTCATCAGCAGTGGGCATCCACAACTGCTGCACTTCGCAGGATTTGAACCCAGGACTTTTGGTTACGAGCGTGAACGTCTGACCTCTGGACCGCTGGGTCGGCGGCATCCAATGGTGTTAATGATTTCATTGAAACATGTAACTTTCATTTTATTTGCATTTTTGTTTCATCCAGCAATTTGTCATGTGTAACTCTTTGCCATTCTGTGGGAGAGAACAAACCAGATTCCAATGGAGGAGGAAATCAGGAAGAAGCGGTGGAAGTGGATAGGACACACACTACGAAAAGCACCCAACTGCGTCACGAGACAAGCCCTCACATGGAACCCTCAATGTGAAAGGAAAAGAGGAAGGCCAAAGAATACATTACGCCGAGAAATAGAGAAAGACATGAGAGGAATGAACAAACATTGGACAGAACTGGAGAGGAAAGCCCAGGACAGAGTTGGTTGGAGAAAACTGGTGTGCGGCCTATGCTCCATTGTGGGTAACAGGCGTAAGTAAGTAAGTAAGTAAGTAACTCTTTGCCATTAGTGAAACGAATTCATTCTAGATCTTCCACTGTGTATGAATTAATATACCAGTATAGTTTTGAAACTTTTTGAATTCACTTTCATCCTTTACTCACTGCATTGATGTTTACTTCTCCACTGTAAAATGTCTTAAATTTGTTTACATTTTATAAGTATATATTTCATTCTATAGATGAGAAGACTATAAGAACTTAAAATGTTTATTGATCCCTGGTTAATTAAACTAACCGAACTGCTAATATCTAACCTAAACAGTAAATCAGTTAAATTATTTGGGACATGTATAATGGTAGACATATTGTAGTAATGAATGCTTTTATTATTCTATGTTTCTATTTCATTTTCTTTTGGTTTTAGATGACTAAAATCAATTCGTCATGGCAATGCAAATGACCTGAAATGTACTTTTTGTACACTAACAAAATGTTCACTTCACAATAAAAAAAGGTGTTAATGGTTTTAAAATGACATCGATGTGAAAAAAAGGAATTTTACCTAAGCAATTTTTTTGAATTAACGTACTTTAAATAATCTAATATCACTTTATTTGTCCTCTACATTTTGCATTTCTATTTATTTCAAGTTGATCATGTCTGTAAACTGACATTTGATCTGTAATTCAAGTTTTTAAAATACATTGTTATCATTATTATTATAAGCCACAATGGAATGCTCACAGAAGACATACAGTTAGTTTAAGATGACTGAAATGATATCCGCTGTGAAATGCATCTGGACCTCCTAGACTTTGCAGATAATCTGTCTCTTCTATCACATACGCAACAACAAATGCAAGAGAAAACGACCAGTACAGCAGCAGCCTGAACAACAGTAGGTCTCAACAAACATAAGGGGAAAAGCAATATTCTTCAACACTAAACAACATGCACCAACGAAATCATACTCGTCCGAGAAGCTTTGGGAGATGTAAGAATCTTTACCTATCTGGGTAGCCTCATTGATGAGCAGGGTAGATCTGATACAGATGTGAATGCTCGGGTCGGAAAGCAAGGGCAGAATTTCTACAGCTAAAGAACACCTGGAAATCAAAACAACTATTAACGAACACCAAAGTCATAATTTTCAATACAAATGCCAAGATAGTTCTACTGTATGAAGCGGAAACTTGGAAAAATACCAAAGTGATCAATTATCCTGAAGATACAAGTATTTATTAACAGTTGTCTACGCAAAATACTTCGAAGCCGTTGACCAGACAATATCAGCAATAACCTATTGCGGAAAAGAACAAACCAGATTCCAGTGGAGGAGGAAATCAGGAAGAACAGCTGTAAGTGGATAGGATACACACTACGAAAAGCACCTAACTGTGTCACAAGACAAGCCATCACATGGAACCCTCAAGGCAAAAGGAAAATTGGAAGGCCAAAGAACACATTACTCCGACAAATAGAGAAAGACATGAGAAGAATGAAAAAAAATTGGACAGAACTGGAGAGGGAAGCCCAGGACAGAGTTGGTTGGAGAAAACTGGTTGGCGGCCTATGCTCCGGTAGGGGTAACAGGCGAAAAAGAAATGAAAAATGTGAAATTACACTTTTATATCCAATATTCACTTACTAAATGAACGGAAAAATGACTGTAAGTTGATAGACATGAAAAATTATGCGAAAAACTCTAACCTCTTTGTTTTAAGTTATAATCATTCATGACAAGCGGATATAATATTGAGGCCTGTTCAAAACTCCATTTCATTCTACTTTCTAGTTGTACAAATTTTGTGACAAATATCACTACTTTAACTAATTAACAAACACGCTACATTCATTCTGCAGTCTTGTTTCTTTAAGAAAAGCTTATAACCTATTGCGATTCTAAATACTAGTAAATCTAATTGGAAATATCTCAATTGTGAGTATATTTCTCTTTATACCTACCTAAGGTTTGAAGGCTCAGGTTATCCATACCATTTACAGCATTCACCAAGTTATTCGTATCTCTTCATTTAGTGAATAAGTACATAATACTCTTTTCCAGGTCTAATGATTAATGTATATATATATTTTTATTCAAGTATGCTGGCGGTGCATTACACTTAACATTTTCAAACTAGACAGTTATGCCATAACTTGAACCGCGTAAATGAACATAATCAACTGCAATACTGCACAATTGATCCTGATGACTCATCACCCACCGTTCGTTATTCAAAGTACAATACTGAATATTACTCACTACTGGTGTTGTGCACGAAAACCCAGGTGAGGACAACAACATATTTAAGCGAATATTACAGAGTTGTTAGGCATATTTACAAAACCTTCCCGTGAATCATTATTTGCAAACTAATCCTTATTTGTTTCAGATTACAGTGTTCTTTCATTTAGACTGTTCAGACTTCAGTTCACTTTAAGTTACCTACAAATCGCCTTCTGTTCTCATTCTTCCCTTCTCGATCTTTTGCTGTCAGACGTTTTATTTCCATTTGATATAATATACTACTTAAGTGAACATAAGTAGCTTACACCACACTGGTATGTAAGACTTTTAAATTCAAATGCGAAAAAAAATTAAAAAAAATAGAAAAAAACTTACGGTGAAATAGGACCTGGTTGAATTGTCCATGATGTTTCGCCAAGACCTTGCCATCGATTAAATGCATAATAACCGCATGTTTCTAAATGTATAATATAAATCATGTATATGATAGTTCGTGCAAGTCGTACAGCATAACCAGCATTTAAACGTTGATCTAATTTTTCAAATGCTTCCCAAAATGCATTTAACTTGATTAAAACATAAACAAAATCATAAAAATTATTATTAAAGAATACATTTCCTATGAAATTTAGTTCAACTAAGCATTAAAATTAGAATCAGTCAATATAAAACAGAATTTATTTATGGTTTGGAATACATACCCATGAACTAAACTAAAGTAGATGGTTTCCTTAGAAAACCGCTCCTGGAGGTTTAATCTACGAGTCAGGGAAACAACGTCAGAAGCTACTACTCATTGATAGTTGCTGGTCGGAAATCAGAGTTTTTGGAAGACACCGAATAAACCATCCGTTTCCGAGACCAGGTTTAAGTGATGAACGTTCACTTTTTAAGAAACATCTCAGTCATGTGAAGTTAGTGGGTACGACTTTCCGTAGTAGAAACTGTTGACGGATATTTCACATACATAATAAATAATTGCTATGAACAAGTGGAGAGAAATTTATAGTCATTGGTCAAAAGAAGAGTTTTAAAGAAAACTATGATCTCTGTTTGTGATTTTTACTTATAAGACTAAAACATCTTTCTGAAATTTAAGTCAATCTTTTTTTTACCTGATTAGATCATAAATCATGATTATTGATCATCTGTTCAAATGTGAGAATATACTGATATTTCACAGAGGAGCTAAAACCTAAATCCATAGTCTCAATAAGTTTTACCAGTTGATAATAATAATAACAATATTGTATTTGCATTACAGGGTTGTGAAGATTGTCAGGCGTTCGTGCACAATATCGAAGTTCCTGGGTTCCAATTCTGCGGGGTACAGGAGTCGTGGATGCGCACTGTCACTAATGAGTCCCATACCAGGACGAAACAGCCGTCTTTCAGTGCTTCCAGGTTTCTAATGGTGTTCTAACATTGATCGATTCATGGTTTCAACAATAATGAATTCTCAGCAGTCAATATTTCAACAAGTTTCTTTTACAAAAACCAACAAAAAAAGTCCAGTTGTTAGGATATTCATCCAATATCCTAAGAGAATTATAGATTAGTCCCCCATGGTTAATTCCCATTGGTCAATTTTATGGTCTTCCTAGATATCAATGTCGTATGTCCCAATGTTGTTCCTTATTGGTTGTCCTGACGATAAATGTCACTTCCAATGCTGCTTCCTATTGGTCGTCTTAACTGTCAATGTCACAGAATTCGATGCTGTTTCATATTCGAGCGAAATGTATATATACGCATTATCTGTAACGTTTTATTTCCACGACTAGGACCAGGGCTCGGTCCCGGATCCCTAGTCCGAGATCCTGATTCTCTTCTGGATTCGGACCTCGTACTTTCTGGATGCTTGTGGAATACAGGTTCCAGTTCATATCACGTCTTCTTATTTTTACTAAATATGGGGGTTGGGATAATCGGATTTGAGTAGCATGTTTTGTCACCGGATCCTCAATCCTCGCTCTCGTTTTCCGACTAGTTCAACTCGTAATAGTTAAAGTATATCAAGTTGACGTGTTTACGTGCAGGCGTAACACAGCAATGTGGTGGTATTTTATTCTCTGAGCTGAATGTTTTGATTGTGGAGCTTTCTTAATTGTTCTCCTGCAGAACAACATCATCATCAGCACAAACTTCAGACAGAAAAAGTCCAAACATTTGAATTTCTCCACCTGAGCTACACACTTTCTCTATCATCTCAATATTGGGAATTTCAATGAAATAATCGTTTTTTTGATATGATGAGAATTGATACAATTTTCTAATTAGGAACATGTTTAGGAATATGAGTTTTTTTCTGACTAGTTCAGTTCTTATCACATGTTTGTCGTATAGTATATTTTTGCTAAATGTGGTATTGTAGAGCTTTGATACCTTTGCTTATGTGTATGGATTCTAATGTACTGTTGTTCTATCAGAAATTATACAGGGAGAAAGATGTGAATGGAATGGATGGTCGTATGAGGTAACACTTACCAGTAGTTTGTAAACTTTTAAATGTCTATCGATCACTTTATTTATTGTGACTTCAAAAGACTCACTACAAACCCTACATTCTCCGTAACATGACGAAATGTTTTCTCAAATGCCCGGGGAAGATTAATGGGGGATAGTAAAAGATAACACGTAATATGTAAGAGTTTACAATGAGTAGAAGTAAATGTCAGATTATGCCAGAATTACATAGCGTCTTTATTTAATTTTGTCAAGCGGAAAGCTTTCTTCGATATCAGTCAGGCGTGAGAAGTCCACGAGCGATCATAAGAAAAACTTACACCAAGATAAACCACTTATGACACTATTTTTATTATAGAATCTCCAGTGGTAAAAACTTCATGCGATTCTAGTAGAGTGTTTAAGTCCTGTTTATGTCTCAGGTTAAACTTAACAGCTTGACATTTCGACAGATTGAATGTGAGACCATCGTAGATAGACCATTGTTCAATAAGCAACAAGAATTCATTCATTCTCAAACAATGTGAAACAGCAGAAATCGGTATACATACAGTTTAGATTATATGCATACTTAACAGAATCATTTTCTACGGAAGATAGAAGATCATACAGAAAAAATGAGAAAATAGCGAAGAACAGCTCCTTGTGACACATCTTTTTGACCAAATAAAGACGTTGAACACTTCCCTCCAAGCACAGGATATTGCTCTCTTCCAGACAGTTAAGAAAATAGCTAGTTGATTATCTATCTGTCCCTGTTAATGCTGAAAAACGTGTATAGTCGTCGTGGTTTTTGTAAAGTCCAAAAAATGCACCTCAAACATACTTCTTATCTTTTTCTAAACTGAACATTATTCTGATACAAGATAACAGCAGCATCTAAGGTATTTTTGTGGATTTGTATGCAAACTCATATGAACTGTTATACTATTTTAATGTAGGCTGAAGTTGCAGTAGCAAAAGTCTTTCTATTGTTTTCAGAAAAGTTGAAGAAATTGCTATAGTTCTAAATCTTACATTCATATCACCAGATACTTTCTTTGAAATTAGAATTATCTTTATTAATCTCCACATTTTCGGGTATAAAATTAATTGAGCAGGATTCATTAAAGATTTTCGTGAATGGATGGATGACACAGAATATTAGTACACTTCTTAAAAAAGAAGGTTTTTAGATTTCATCATGTCCTAAACATTCGGACAAATTAAATGACTACAGACATTTCCGGATATCAGTCCCAGTCAAAACTGGAACACAACTCTTTTTTTCAAACTTGTGGATATCGAAAGTATGACATTAGATGATTAACGTGAAAAAAAATCATTTAATATTGACCGGAAGTAAGTATTCTGTTCAAATAGAAAAACAAATGAATAGCCAAATCAATTTCTTTTTGTTCATGTACGTAAATCAGTATGAAACAGTAACTAAGGTTGACAAAACTACATACAATGCTGAGTTTGAAAGAAAAACAATTTGGTTTTTTGTATCATTTTTACTAATAATACAAACTCAATAACTAATAAGCAAAGAAAACTTTAAACCTAATTTGTTTACAAGCTAGATTATGTTAGATTGAACAAAATGATATTTGTTGTTAGATTTTGAAACTTGTGTCACCCAGTGTCGTAGTTATTAAAAACTGAAAAGACCATCGATTTTGTTCTGTTAGTTATAACTGATAAGTTATAAACCCTCTCTTCAGCGTATAAAATTGTCAGGAAGTTCAAATCGAAGAAACGTTGGTCAACATTCAAGCAATTCACAGAAAATGGGCATGACAAAGAAGTTTTTTAGGAAGTACCAAAATGGACAAACATCTAACTATAGAGGAACAACCTTTTTCCATTTACTTGTATTCAAGAAGGAATAAAACTTCAGATAGAATTGAAATAATAATCTCTAAGGCACTGAAAAGAAGTTTTTATTCAATTTAGTCAGTTTAGATATTTGACACTTAAAGTGATTATACTGAATGGACTGAGTATTGTAAAGTTTTGTTGAAATAAAATGTTCAAACTAAGATCTATAGACGTTTAATGAATAAAAAATACGGTAAGTTGGATATGAAAAGCAATTAAAATAATTAGAAGACAGTAAAGAATAATGATACTCAGCTTCTAGATATCAATGCCATGACAAGACTCATACCTGACCTGTCTATATAGTAGTGGGTAAAACTGTTTTAACAAGCGTAAACTATGATGATAAAATTCCATTTGTTACACAGACTTTTTTCTCATTATTAGCTGTTTATTATCATATTTCTTGTTCATTTCTCGTTATGAAGATTTTCTACTTGTTGGGGACGTAAGATGACCAGAACTCACTTGTTTCAGATCCTAAATTTGGATTTTGTGGTTTCGCACATGGGAAAACCATTGACTGTTATTGGTTGATGAATTATTTTAGTACGCTACTTTTGTGGCTCTCCCAAGGACGTTTCTAAGCTGTATAAATAAACTCGATTGTGTGTGGTTGTGAACCTCATATTTTCTGGGTGCTTGTAGAATGCAATTTTCACGCTATATCAAAACTTGTTGCTGTACTTAGTATCATAGAAGCATTGCTCGTGTATCGTGGGACAATTGAGTAAACAATGCTGCCATCAGGAGAGGAGTAATAGGTAAGGATGGCAGATCAGTAGATGAAGTAGTGAAACTTCATCAGTTGTGGTGGTTGGGACATATGTTACGGATGCCCAAGCACCGACTGCCTCGACGAGCAATGTTTTGTGGTATAGGCTTAGGCGAGTAGAAAGTAAGGGGCGGCCAGACCAAAAATGGCAGAAATCTATGAAGTCACTGACAAGTGGACTGAGTCATGTAAGTAGATGTAGGCTACCTGGTTGGGGTCCGCGAGACGAAAGTCAACAATGATTAGAGACCTAGAACGAAATGGCTCAAAATCGTTTGCAGCGGCTTAGGTGTTCCCTGAAATCCTAATCTTCTGGATCCGTTAACACCTCTACCTTTATCTTTCTAAACGTATCTCACTGAATTATACTTCTTGAATAATATCTTCAAATCTTAATCTTCCCCATTACCAGTATTACTTCTACTATCTCTATCACTATGGGGTTTGAATTGACAATAGCGTCTCTGTGCTAATGTAGCGTTGAAACCTGAACTGATGTACTTACGTACGAAGTCCTACGTTGTAAATGACTGACTGACCGACTTAGTGGGGCATTGGGATGCTCGGATCAAAGTAGCCTATCGTGTCACTGTGTAGTGCCTCCACATATATTCCAGTTCTCTTACATCTAACTTGATTAAGCCTTTTGATTAATTTATGTAACCAAGCTATTGGCATAGCAACAACTCATATGTACCGTTGGTATTTTTTATTATCTGCTTTGTATGAGCTTGTACGACTGAGCATTGCTTACGCTTACGCACTTACTCATCCTTTTCGCTTTAATGTTAATCTCGTAATATTCCCATGAACTCACATGATTTGTATCGCTTGTCATTTGACCTTGTCAATCATTCGTCGCTTTTATTCATGTGTGTGCATACCTATTTCGCTTGTCATATGTCTGTCTTATTCTTATCTGACTATATATTCTTAGTCATACTCTATCTCTTTGAGTTGGCTCAACAGCCTTCTCCTATTCGCTTCACTCATTCGTTCGCATTGTAATCCAAGGAGTTGGCTCACTAGCCTTCTCCTATTCGCTTCTTCAATTCGCTATGTGGTGTGCCTCAAATAAACGTATACGATATTTGGAGTTCATCTTCTGATTTATAAATCGAGCTTAAGAACACGCATTAAGCCGGCACACCTCAACTGGACCATTTGTCTTCGCTCTCGTTTACGGACTAAGTTGAACTCTTAGTAGTTCAAGCGTATCAATTGACGAGCGTAACACTATTCCATTTTAAAAATTAAATAAAATATGTTGTCTCTTTTTATAAACGATATTATTCTTTCTAGCTTTGGAAAGTGGAACTTGAAAGTGAACTATGTAAATTTATTTGTCCTTGTTCTACTCAAATCAATATAACCTATTCATTTAACCGGATCAAATAAAGCCTTCCATATATCCAAAATACTTTCGATCAATTTTTATCCATGAATACCCAAACCATTTGATGCTGAATATCATACATCGATGATCGATCGATAATATTCTAACGCCTTGATGATATCGATTACAACTACTTATTGACTGATTTAATCTAGTGGTAGTTATTTTTTGTAAAAAAAATCAATATTAACTCACCTTGACCAAACGTAAAACACGAAAACGTGCCATATCTTTTTCATAAAGCAATGAAAGTAAATCCAATGGTATGATTGATACAATATCAATCTAAATGAAGGCAGTAAAATCAAGACAAGTTGAATTTAATTGTTTAATGAATGTGAATTGTTTATTCGTTTACATTTACGACAAGGAATAAATGAAAGAGTTTAGAAAAGTGGGATCAATCTGGAAGTGCATTAATTTTCTAATAAATATAAGGAAGATTTTATTTTAGTTACGTGTGGTATACAAAAATATAAATGCCAATTATTTACCTATTGATTTGTTCATCAAATTACCTTTTACCTAGACCTCTGTTTTGTATTTAAACATTTTATACTACTAATGAGTAGCTGAATGAAAATAGCACAAAATGTTATTTGTTAAACACAAGCAGATGAAACAATTTAGGAACGATTGATCTATTCACAGAGATATTTCTAAAGTGAATAATATTTGATGAAAATCTAACTGATAAGAATAACATGGTCCATTGGAGTAGAAGGACTATCTACTTAGCTGAACAAATATCATGATGCATTTACTCACTAATTTTCTCGGGAGTTAGCTAAACAACCACTGAAGTACTATCCTGTGAAATACTGGCGCTCCAGTGCTGACTGGTTTTCAACAGCTTTTCAACTAAGATCAGTCCATAAAATAAACAGTACAGTTTTCTAATTTTTGACCTGATAACTGTTCAAAAACCCATGGACTTCTCTAAAACTTTGATTTTCTGACGTGAAGTCGATTACTAAAAAATTTAAGGGAAATCCTTTTCAAATATGTCACAAATTTTTATTGATCCGTCCTCTGAAAAATTAAAAATGATTAAGAAATGAAGTTTACACATAAGGTACCTTATAGGATGAAGGAGAAGACTATGAGGGTAAACTTGGTTGCAGGAGTTTACGGTTAAAAATAGGGATAAAATTAGTTCGATTGTTAGAAAAATGCTTTATATATGTATCTGAATATTCACGAAGTAGATAGAAATAGAATCGAATTCATTGTATAATTGTGTATTATTCTATAGTAATCTAATCAAACTTATGATACTGAATAAAGCGATCGTCATTGTTATTAATTACGTATTATTCTAGTAATAATAATAAAAATTATCACTACTATTAAACAAATGTTTTCATAATTAGTTTCTCACAATGCATGGCTATTCTAAAAGGCTGCCATGGAAGTTTACTGGCTGAAATTAACATTTTATGAATGATCTATAAGAACCAATAATCAAATAATATCGTCATTATAGGGTTGTAAAGATTGTTGAGTTTCATTGAAATCGTAGACCGACTAATGTTAGACCACTATCGGACACTTGAAACACTGGATGGCCGTTCCATTCTAGTATAGGACCAACCAGCAGTGAACATTCACGACGCTGCCAGCGGAAGACGAAATCAGGTCCTTCGGCCCTTCATGCTCGAACTCCTAATCTCTTGGCCACTGAGCCATCATCTAAATTTTTGATGTCTAATTTGAGTTGAACCACGCTACTTAGCGACCCCGTTCATTGTATTTGGGGTGGGGGAACTGCCTCAAACGCAATACGATAGAAGTCCACTAGACACGGCTTCTCACTAGAACTTCAAGAATCCACACGCGGTGCCGGTCACTAGTGAACGAATAGCATACACTGCTGATAAGTGCCATATTGGGAAGAAACGGCAGTCTAGGGCCTTTAGATTTCTAATAATGGTTGAATATTGGTCGAACCGTGGTCTTAATGAACATCAGATGATTACTATAGTAAATAAATTTTCACTTTCATTAATAAAAACAAGATATCACATTGTGGTGGTGGTGTTTGGTTCTCTGAGCTGGTTGTGGTTTTGATTGTGGAGCTTTCATTGTTCTCCTACTGAACACACCATCATCAGCACAAACTTCAGATAGCAGAAGTGAAGCATTAGTATGCTTGAGGCTATTACGAGTTTACCTTAGTCGATAAACGCGAACGAGACAATGAACCAGCGTCCAGGTAGGCTACATTGAATCTGAGGCTGAAGTAAAAAGGCTTTGTAAGCGTAGAAAGTATATTCTACAAACACTCAGAAATCACAGTACCATCAAGCACACAACTCTCGTTAATTTATACAACACAGAAACGTCCTTGAGACAGTAAAGAATATAGCACACTAAAATACACAGCAGCCAATCACAGCCATGGATTTTCCTGGTGGGACTGAAATCTCAGGGTCAACTGATCAGCCCATACTCGCAAACGTGAAAACCAAAATACGGCATTATCAAGCGGATTTTGGGGATCAAACATCGCCGACACCAACCTCGATCTTGATTGGTTGTTGTTGACCTTAAACCTGTCGTTGTTTGCAACTTTGTTTTGATTGCATCACCCTTTTGATCAGAAAATCAAACACCATCACCACAATCATCCATCTGAGCTACAAATCTTCTCCATCATCTCAAGATATCACATTACTTAATGTTTAATCCGTATATCTAGCTAATGGGAAGACTGGAATGACTAGCGACTTTACTAGACAATTCTTATTGATGCCTTCAAATTTCCAGAAAAACAATTTTTATCTCAATATTTATTATCAATATTGTTTAAAACAAATTTATTTATTTATACATACATAATCCATAGAGAAAAAAATAATTAGAAATCAATTGAACTTACTTTAAATTGTAAACTTTTAAAATAATGTAATGCACATGATTTAAAATCAGTCTAGAAATAAAGAAAAGTATAAAATAAATCAATCTCAAAAACCTACTTTAATGATACCATGATCAAGAAATTCTATACGTGGTCTTAATATTACAATATCCAACAGATATAATATATCCATTAATGAATTTAGTGTATACCATAGTGTCATATTCTCTTCACCATCATAAATATTGAATGCTTCACGTAATGGTATAGTAATATAATTGTATAAAACTGCTAGTAATAAGATACCTAACCATAATAAATAAATATTACCTATGGATAAAGAGACAAAAAACAAAACAAAACAATACAGGAAATATATTGTGGAGTTGTTGTGAAGATTGTTAAGTTACGCATTTTTGAAACCATGAATCGATCAGTAATGTTAGACCACCATTAGAAGAAACCTGGAAGCACTGCAGAAGACGGCCGTTTCGTCCTGGTATTGGGCGGACTCATCAACAGTGGCAGTGCGCATCCATGGTGTTCATGTCTAACACTGGCTCAATTGGCCTAACGGTTAGGGTGTTCACGAACAAGATTGAAGGTCCTGGGTTCGAATCCTGCGGGGTGCAGAAGTCGTGGATGCGCACTGCCACTGATAAGTCAGTCCCATACCAGGACGAAATGGCCGTCTTTCAGTGCTTCCAGGTTTCTTCTAATGGTGGTCTAACATTGATCGATTCATGGTTTCAAATAATACATAAAATTTTAGAAAAATATATTTAAATAGTTTGAAAATAACAATTTTGAAGAAACTGTACATCTACTTTATTCATTGTTGGTTAATAAATCAGTTACAATGTAAAGAAAATCACAAAATGAATGAACTACAATTAACTAATAGGAAGAATTATTACGAGTTCACCTTCTTAGTCAGTGAACTAGAGTGAGGATTGATGATCTGGCGACAAGATAGGCTACTCTAATCTGAATGTCCCAAACCCCAGTTGAGTAGTAGAAGAAGAAGACTGGTTATGAAGTAGAACGTGAATTCTACAAGCACCCAGAAAGTACGAGGTCGGGATCCGGAAGAAGCTAAAGATCACTGTAGGGTTCGTCACTAGGTACGCTTAAAGCTATAATGAGTTCACCTTAGTCGATAAACGCTAACGAGACAATTACCAGCGTTTAGGTAGGCTACCTTCAATCCCAAGCTGAAGATAAAAGGCTTTGTAAGCGTAGAAAGTATATTCTACAAACACCCAGCAATCACAATACAATCAAGCACACAACTCTCGTTTATTTATACATCATAGAGACGTCCTTGGGACAGTCACAAAAATAGCACACCAAAATACACAGCAGCCAATCACAGCCATGGATTTTCCTGGTGGGAAATGAAATCTCAAGGTCAACTGATCAGTCCATGCTCGCAAACGTGAAATCCAAAATAAGGCATTTATCAAGCGAGTTCTGGGCATCTAACATCCCTAACAATCACGAACTAAGGATCCGGGTCCTAAAATGTTCCAGATAAAGTATGTTTATACATTTAGGTCAAACAGGAAACAACATTGAAGTAGGTGACAGTGACAGTTAGGACGACCATAGTATTGATCAGTAGGTGATGGACTCACAAAATAATTCTCTTAGTACATTTGATGAATATCGCAACAGTTTATCAAATTAATTATTGTTCTGTAATAATTAATATTATGTTTGAAGTTCTGAGATTTAGTATGAGCGGAACCCAACAGTTTCCGTAATCCTCTTATTGTAATTAGCAATCATGTTGATATTTGTCCCTGATTTCTTGAGGTGAGTTCTACTGATGAGCCAATCTAGTTTACAGGAATGGGTTATCTAGTTAACCTTGAGACTAGTGATGCGTGAGTCTGTTTATGACTAAACGGCCTTCGGTACAAGAAAGTAATTATATCACCGGATAGGATGACAAGCGAGAAATAGAAAGCACCCCTCGATTTATTCCTGATTCGACTAACGAAAAATTTATGCTCAGCAAGATCGCAAAGCACAACGAATAAGATAGATACGATTATGTCCAAACTAGGCATTTAGGACAGGAAAATTGATTACAAAGGGTTACGCTACGAAGTTACAATAATTTCGGAATAAACTAAATTATGTCAGTGAATCGCACACCAAATGGGGAAGCTTAAAATCTATAGGATAAGACAGGAAGAAAAATAAATATTAGTATCTTAAGGACTTGAAATTGGGTGCAACAATGTTTCCAAAATAAGTTTCCACTGTTTTTCACTATCCCTTTATTTCCCTCTTCGCATCAACTCAGAATTTTTGAATGATATATGTTATGATGTGCTGTGTCTTAGATGATCAGAATGTGATATGCGCTGACCATCCAAACTGACTACAAGAGTGGGAGATGAAGTCCACTTCTTGACCAATGATATACATTCGTCCATTTTTTTCATGGTCATCAAATGGCCTTGTCATCTAGCCACTGCTGATTGGCTCACTATATCATTATTCAAAGCAATAGGATACATACAAATATCGTTTGTTATTTATGAAAACTCATAAAACGTAGATATTTTTGACGAATTCTACATCATTCAACTAAAATCATCAACCTTCCATCGTTCAGGTAATCAAAAATAACTTCATGCTTGTTGATTTATTTTGGATGAATAAAAATAAAAGGTTTTATAATAATCATTCCACTATGGGATTGTGAAGTTACTATGAAATCATGAATCCATCAATGTTAGACTTGTTATGTTCGTCACTAGGTACGCTTGAAGCTATTACGAGTTCACCTTAATCGATAAACGAGAACGAGACATTCAACCAGCGTCCAGGTAGGCTACCTTGATCCGTAACGGCTAAAGAGAAGTCTCGGTATAGCGTAGAAAGCATATTCTACAAACACCCAGAAAGCACAATGCAATCAAGCACACAACTCTCGTTTATTTATACATCATAGAAACCTACTTGGGACAGTTACGAAAATAACACACTAAAATAAACAGCAGTCAATCACAGCCATGGATTTTCCTGGTGGGAAATGAAATCTCAAGGTCATCTGATCAGCTCATGCTGGCAAACGTGAAATCCAAAATAAGGCATTTAACAAGCAAGTTTTGGGGATCTAACATCCCCAACAAGATCATCATTAATTACCTGAAAGCACTAGACGGCTGTTTCTCCCTGGTATGGGAATCATCAGCAGTGTGCATCTACAACTCCCATCCAGTGCATCCATGTTTGAAACGGTGTTCTAACATTGTTCAATTTATGATTTAAAACTATCATTCATCACATCTTGTCACCACAGCTTCAAGATTTGAAAAAATATATCAGACAACATTAGGGAAAATATAAAAAATTTCAAAAATATTAAAAACAACTTAATAGAAACTCACTGTATGGTGATATAGTTGCACCGAATACATCTTTTAATCCTATCAACCATGCTGGTAATGGAATTGATATTTGTTTAAGTGTAACATATTCTTCACCAATAATTTCAGCTACGAAAAATTGAATTGAACATCTATCATTATTATATAATTATTTATAATGTCATACAATAAATATTGTCAGATTGATAAACTATTTTAACGCAGAACTAGATTCTTTTCAATTATGAAATATTCAACAGAATAAGATATCTATTTAACTACTTTTGTGGTGTGAGCTACTTATAAGTAGTATATGACGTGAGTGTCAACGTAATGTCTGGCAGCGGGAGATGAGGAAAGATCAAGAAAGGAAGAGTTAGAAAACAATGGAATGAATGTATGAAACGCATGAATAGTGACAATGGATTGATGTTTGGCAACAGGAACAGTCCAGTTCGATATGATGAACTGATATTTTGCAAATGAACAATTTACGATATGGTTTTCCGATTTTACTTAGTAACTCTGTAATTATCGCTAAATACAATTCGGTTGCCCCACCTGTATTCTCATTCACTACACTTATACCATGTTTGTATGGTGTTTATATGTTGAGTTCGTTAGATCACCAGAACTCACTTGATTAAGGTCCGAATTTTGGATTTTATTATGCTCTAGCGTATTGGCTAATCGGCTGACCTTGAAATTGCATTTCCCACTCGGAAAATCTTTGTCATTGGTTGATGGATTATTTTAGTACGCTATTTTTGTGCCTCTCCTAAGGACGTTTCTATCATGTATAAAAAAACTCGATTGTGTATGCTTGTGAACCTCATATTTTATGGGTGTTTGTGGCATACACTTTCTACATCTTGTCAAGATTTCTTCTACTTAGTGGAGCCTTGGGACACTGGGATTAGAGTAGCCTATTGTGTCGCTGGATCATTTGTCTTCGTTCTCGTTTACCGACTAAGGTGAACTCGTATTAGTTTTAAACATATCAATTGACAAGCATAACAGTTTACAATTTCCAAACTAACTATTTACGAAAAGAATAAACTGAATAATGATGTGGTTAAGGATTTTTTTAAGAATTCGATTATTTAAACACATTGATACAGAGCAGTGATATTCTTCAATAGTTGTTCACATTTGATAATTGATAGTTTTTATTTTAACCTTGAAGAAAACAAGGTTCAATAGTTAATTTATAACAAATGTTTTGATGTTTTATTGGAACAATATAAACATGAGTATAAAATGAAGCATAAATATTTATGCACCACAGAAATTATTGAATATGTGAGTTGAGATACTGTTTGGATACTCACACCAAAGAAGGCGGTTTTCTAAGAGGGCCGCACCCTGAACCTTTGGCCCGAAAGTTCAGTTCACAATGCAGTGGAGCGACGTAAGGAAATGCGATTGAATGGTAGCCGGTAACTAACAATAGGGTTATACACCATTCATACGGTCAAAATTTCGGAGCCTATGTACATCAGTGTTTTGGAATAAGGGTTTCCCAACTGTCATAAATAGATCCTCCATACCAAACAATCTGGTTAGGTAGCCGAACATGTTTATCATCCTCTTGCCATGAGAATGCAGTGGGTAGAACCTCTCTGTCAGCGGCTATATTTGTATGGCTAGATGAGAACATTAGGAAAGGAAGAGAGGACTCTTTCCACTCTCGACCATACCAGGACATTTAGGGGCTATGAAAAAAGTGATAGTATAATAGTCGATGATGAACCACTTTGTCGGAATTTTTTAAAAATATTTTGAGGTTATAATTTATGCACGGATTCATTTATTCATGTTTGACCAGTAGAATAAAAATGAATTGAGACTATTAACTTACTAATAGAAATGGTATTTATATAAGAAAGTTAAAATCAAAATTTAGAGATACTTAACATTAATACAAACATTAAAAACTGGAGTTCATCTCTTCAGAAATGCTGACTTAGCGAAACAACTAACTATTGTTTTCAAATTGGTTTAAGACAAGCATTCATCATTCACCAAACTTATTTCAAGTATGTTACTCCGCTAGTTATGCTACACAACCTTAATTACATTTTCAGAGTCTAAGTATAAATAGTAATATGATTACTATTTGAGGTAATGTCACACTACATATATATATATATATATATATATATATATATATATATATATATTTAATACGATCGTCATGGCAGTTCTCTTGTATGGAGAGGAAAGGTGGAGAACTTCGAAAGCCATCATCCATAAGATACAGGTGATTATCAACGGTTGTGTATGTAAGATACTTCAGATCTGTTCACTAGACACTATCAACAACAACAAACTGTGTGAGTGAACAAAGAAGATTCTAGCTGTGGAATAAATCAGGAAGAAGCGCTGGAAGTGGATAGGACAAACATTCAGGAAAATACCCAACTGTGTCACAAGACGAGCCTTCGCCTGGGATCCTCAAGGTTAGAGAAAAAGAGGAAGACAGAAAAACACATTAGGCCGTGAAATAGAGAGAGACATCAGAAGAATGGAGAACACTTAGATAGAACTAGAAAGGAAGTCCCATGAAAGAGGTTGGAAAATGCTGGTTGGCGGCCTTCGCTTCACAGAGAGTAACAGACGTAAGTATACATGGTCAACCAACATGACTTCAGCACATGAACGTAAGCTGCTTTTACACAACACAAGGATTCTCACGACTGCCATTTACATGATCACCCTTGACCTAGAGGATACGAAAATATCTTCTAGATTGTCATCCAAGCAAGTCTGACATCCAATCTGCGCACGCACGGTCAGTCACCCCCGTACGGTTTCTAATGGATCAACTCAATTCTTCCAACCAGTTCACTACCCGCAACCCCCAGTCGACAAGGGCAGCAAAGCGGGCTTACACAGCTAGACCTGGCAGCCTGTACGGGTTGCCGAGCTACCAAGCAGTGCACTAACCAGCAGGTCTTCCAACCGACTGGCCTCCAAATGCCTTGCGATGATACAATTGACTAGAGCCTTCTAGACCGTATATGAAGCCAAGGATTAAGTTTGTCCCACAAGGTCAGCCAGAACATACAACCTCTCATGAGGAAAATATATACATAGTTATTAATTAAAACAGTCCCAAACTATTTCATAGAAGTGAAAAGTTATACTTCCACTCAATACATCTCAATTTTTTTTAAATGATGGTGGATTTCGAACCGAGTGTTTAGCAAATGATTGTAAGTAGTAGACTATTCTATACCATTAATCCGTATAAATATATAAATGTATGTACAACAACCTCATTTTGTATTTAGTATAAATATATATATATATTCCAAAGTAATCAGTATATTCGCATACATCGTTCAGTTTCTGGTTCAGTTGTTTTGGTCACTTTAACTCCCTTCTGTTGTTGTTGTTTCGCAGTATCCTCTGGATTTTGTATACTGAAACATGGTAAATCAGGTTTTGATATAAAATATTTTCTATTTGATGGTATACATGCTAAACATAAAGGTTGACGTATGATTAATTTTCGATTAGGATATCTTTTCCACCATCCAGCTGGTTTTTCTTCAGGAATTTCGGCCATTTTGAATTCGCCATCCAGCTGAAGTTCTTTTTCATCGGATTTTGTTGGGTCTGTACCTGCAGTTAGTCGATTTGTAATTGACCAGTTCAAAAAAGAGAACATAAGTGATAGAAAAGGTTAACGTTGATTAATATCAAAAAATATCACAGAGAAGCTCAGTGAAGTCAATGATACTGAACAGTTTACATCATGGTCTAGACTTAGTAAAACAACCAACAACAAAAATGCACCGAACAATTGTTCCCTCTTTGTCTGAAACTGCCGACCAGTGGCCAAACCCAGAACTTTTAGGTCTTAAGTAGAGAACTCAACTCTAAGACCGATGTTGCTGTATCAAATCGTTCACTTTTTATCATACCAATTTTCTGAGAAAACGACTTCGAATGAAATTTCTGGATAACTGTTTCTCATCCAACTTGGATGAATTCCACTAGCCACCAGTTGTCTTAACTAGAGTTAGTTCATGATGTACATAGCACATTTCAACACACTTTACAAGCTCCTCACATTAAAACTGAAAACTGACTAAGCTTTATTGTTTGAAGTCGACTACTGTTAGACAATTAGTGTAGACTAAGAAGTACTGAGTGTCTGGTTTATTTTAACGACAGGATTCTTACCAGTATTCACTGAAATTTCCTCAATGAACAAACACAAGAGCTTGTGAAAAACAAGTTACCTTTAGGCTAACCCCGTTTGTGCAATGGCAGTAATAAAATGCCATATACAGTTTTGGTAGATGAATTAACGTAATTCATTCACTTAAGCAGATAGACACGAGAATACGAAGCGTAAAAGCCAAGCGAGGCGAGTGAGCCAACTCAGTGTGATAAGGCCATGACTAAGAACTTATGCATTTTTGAAACCATGAATCGATCAATGTTAGATCACCATTAGAAACCTGGAAGCACTGGAAAGCCATTTCGTCTTGGTATGGAACTCATCGGCAGAGCGCATCCAAGACTCCTGCACCCCATAGGATTCGAACCCAGGACCTTCGGTATTGTGCACGAACGCCTAACCTCCGGGCCACTGAGCCAGTATCTAACGGTGTTTTCCCCGAGTTTTAGTGGGAAGTCGCGGCCAGTGAAGTGCAACTTGTTCGGCTGCAGACAGTAACTACCGAAGACTGTGAATGAGGTTGCGCAACTTCGTGAATTGATCAAGTTAAACATTAACGCCACTGGATGCCAACCCAGTGGTCCAGAGGTTAGGCGTTCGCGCACAATACCGAAGGTCCTGGGTTCGAATCCTATGGGGTGCAGGAGCGCTCTGCTGATGAGTCTCATACCAGGACGAAGCGGCCGTCCAGTGCTTCCAGGTTTCTAATGTTGGTCTAACATTGATCGATTCATGGTTTCAAAAATGGGTAACTTAACAATCTTCACAACCCCGTAATGTAATAATTTATAGTCAGACAAAAATAAGCTAGACATGTGATAAGCGAAGTATGAACGTAAGTAGTCTCATAAAAGCAACCAAGATTATGAGCGAATAATTGATAACGTCGAAAGACGTATGACTGGTGATTCACACAGAAAAGTTTAATTAGTTTACCCGAAAGCTAGGACAAGTCCTGTCGACTTGACATATTTGTACACACACACTATAAGATGTTATATGAAGGAGTTTTAATCACGTTCTACTGTGGCGAACAGTGGAATTCAAACTAGAGATTTTAACATATTTGGAACCTATCTGTTTCATTAACCCAACTTCACTGTAGCATTTTACTAATGTCACGATATCTCAACAATCCTCTTATGATGTGCATACTGGTCTGTTGCATTCTTTGACATTAATAACAGGCAATTACGAGCCTTTACAAAGTCGTACAGACATAGCATTTATATTTTATCAAATGGGATTTTCATGTCACTGAAATTTGTGTTTGAAGCGATCAATATAAAAATGTATAAATTGAGTTTCATACATTTTAAATTGTATCAAAAGCCGGTCAGATAAGTGTAATTGTCTCTCTCAAATAATACTCAATTCAAGTAACCAATTAAAGACTACTAAATGACTAAATACGATCTTGAATGATAGAATACAGTGTTCATAAATTTTATTCAAATCCATACAGTTTGATATTTTTTCTCGTTTCGCTTTATGTTAACGAACGCAGAAAGTTATGATCAGAACTAACTTGTAATTACTATAGGTCTGTCCTAGCTAAGAAAGCCTGTTGCCCTATTTGACACAATGTACGTACATTAAAAGCTCCAACATATAGTCTGGAACGGGGTTTCAAGAGACCAGGAATGACGTTTCGTGAACTCACTTCGTCTGCATGAGCTGTGCACTGTGATAAATGAATGTGAGTTAGTCGTGGAGATAAGAGAGTTATTGAGGGGTGTAGGAAGGATTTGATTACGACCAATTTGGTCTCGTGTGCTGTTATGGGTATGAGGGCGGTTGTCACATTCCGGCTGCCCACACCGTGGAAGGTTGTTTCTTGAGGGACCTGAAAAGGAAGATAGATTAGTGTTGGTCTTGGAGACCTGGCAGCGTGACCGCAGATCCCAAGGGATAACTGCTTGAGGCCGGTCACGCACGGCCTTTTTATGAAAGGTTTTTTGAGGATTACCTCCGCTCTTAAAGGCCCTTAGTGGGCACCCTTACAGACGGAGACAAAACTCCGTGAGGTAGGGTGAGGTGTGACATTTTTAGGGTCGACCTTTTCTAACCCTTTCTTCCTTGTGAGAAGGCAGCATCGCTGCAGATGCTGGTTATCCGAATGAAACACCTTACTGTTGTCACACCGCTCTGCAGCCAGCAGTACGATTTCACCCTCAGACCTTGGGTCCGGGGGTCTGTCCAAAAGTATACAAAATCATATCAACAACCGGAAACATCATTTTGAGATGTTGAACTTACAAGTTTCTTTTTCATCGGATTCACTTTCACTGATTTCCACTTTTTCAACATGTTTAGCTTTGATTAATTCAGTACGTTCTGTAAATTTTGTACGTAGTGTACGTAGTTTTTCTACAACTGCTACACTGACTTCTGAATCTGATCGTCTAAAACGGAGAGAGAGTTTAGATAGGAAACAAACAAAATTAGTGAAGTTAGATTCGCATTAATGAAATTTCATCCTGTAATCTCAATTAAAGAACTTAAATAAACTAAAAGATGATAACAGTATCCGTTAAATAAATTAGCAGTTATCTAGACTCCATAGATCAGTGGATAAAGCGTAGAGGTGTTAATCGAAAGGTACTTGTTTCGTGTCCCAGTGTGAACAACATCAGTACTGGGGAAAAAGTTCAATCAGTTAACAAGTTTTTCAAGTTAGATGAAACATGCTTCATGGATATCATTGGCACTGACAAAGTGTCCACTTTAGAATTTATAGTTTCAGTAATCGAGTCGTCTACAACTTAGAACCTGGCACATATGCACATCAGTTGAAGTTGTCATATAACTTAACCACAACAAGATAACTTATTAGTAAAAGCAGTAACATTATTAGAGGTAACAGAAAAGGTTAGATATAAGAGACAGGATTCGACTAGGAATGATGGTTTCACAGAATAGATGGTTTTTTTCGGTTATTAAGAAACTTTGGATCTAAGGTAAAATAAAGAGTTTATGCATCCGTGTCATCCAAATTGACTGACTAATAGTTACTCTAATCCCCCGAACCCCAACTAAGTAGTCTGCTCCTGTCTTCATGGTTCATCCCAACTTTCAATAGCTTCATGGACTGATGCCACAGCTTTTCTTGACTTTCCTTGGTATTCTTCATACCCTACTCCTACAATAACCATCAACTCGCGGTAAGTGGTGGTGCGGCATACGTAGCACATACCCCTAGTCACTTTAGTTTCTTAGAGTGTCTTTAGACAAATGTAAGAAACTGATTGATTCAGTAATTTCAAGTTCAAAGTGCTATCGTTGGAAAAAAATTAAACCGATTCAGAAAAAAATATTTTCTTTCTGACTACGGTGTTCGGTCTGCCTACTTATAAAAATGACCTTAGTTTCTAGCATGATTCCTAGGAACCAGTAACTATGTTACTCTGGAGTGGTGAATACTACTAGCACCATGGCTTATAAGTAGTATGCAGCGTAGTATCTCCTAGGAGGTTCCTACCGGAGAAAAGAGTTTTGGATCAGAATGTATGGCATGATCAGAGTATTTCGAAGACTAGAAGACATGTGAAGGAAGACAGCCAGTAATCCGATTGTTTTGCAAATTGAACTTTGAGGATAAAATGTACACATTTTCCTAGTAAACCATCATTTTCGAACGTTAGGCTGGTAATTTCTTCCTGTAAGTCAAATGTAATTAATGGATTTTATTTGATCAGTTTTTCATTAGGAATGAAGTATTCTTTCTCAATGATATAGACTTATACAAATCCACTTATACAGTAAATTTCTTTTGTGATGTATGGTATCTAAAAACTGATATTGATGCATAACCTTCCTCTAAACACAAGCCCAACTGAGTACTTAAGTGTGGAGGCTGAATGTTAATATATCTGTATCCTTCTGCTGATAGTAGCACTGGGCTTGTATACCAATAGAAATCGATCACTTCCTTTCTAAATTTTGAAAAAATATTTGTAAAGTAAAAACGCCAATAACTATTAATATAAAACATACCTACTGATTGAAAGGTGACAGTTGCTATTATTGACTTGATATTTAACGTAATAAGTTTAGAGTTTGACTAAGTGTTATGGGCTAGTTTTTCCGTATTATTGACTCAAAATATTATTGGCGTTTCTTTTTTAACTCCATAGTGTTATTATTATTATAAGGTTGTAGAGATTACTGAATTTTATTGATATTGCAAATCAATCTAAGTTAAATAATCATTGAAAGCTTGATAGCACTGGTCGGTCGTTTTGTAGCAACATAGGACTCTCAACAGTGTTTTTTCATGACCGCATAAATGGGAACCGAAATCAAGACTTTCCGTCCCGCAGACAAACGCTTAGCCTGCAAACCGCTCAGCTGGTATCTAAAGGTGTACAAATCTAGTATCGACTAATGTGCGATAATGCGCCACAATCTTCTATTGTTTTCTATAGGTGTAACTACCTCAAGTTCAATACCGTTGAAACCTCATGGCTTGTCACTTTAACTTTGAGAATTCTCTATCAAAACTAGTCACTAATGAGTAAGTTGCAGTTGACATTATGGGATTATGAAGATTGTCGACGAAACGGTCATTCAGTTTTGTCAGGCTGTCAATGGTTATCCAACTTTGATCAATTTACGGTTATAGTTAGATATTCATCCCACTCTCATCAGTTTCTATAGATCACTAATATTCAAATCGATATTGAAATGTATGAAACTACTAGACCATTATTCAAAGACAATATATTACTTTATTACTAAATTAATCACCTAAGACGTTACCAATATCAAAGAATACAATTCTTATCCCATGTATATGAATATAAACAAAATGGAAAGTAATACCGGTATTAGAAAAAATCATTATTCATACAGTATCAATGGTAAATATAAACTCTTCATAACTTACGCATTTCGTTGGGGAATCCTAAGGAAAGGTGCATGCCTACTTGTTCTATTAAGTTTACTTTGTGCTTTAGATGAAAAGACAAAAAAAGGGGTCGAAATTACAAAAGATATTCTAATATACATCTAGTGAATTGGAAATGTGTACTTGAAAGGCAAAAAATATCAAATTGACTTCAATAACGATTTCTGACTGATTTATTCTATCCTATTCCTTGCTGTATTGTTTACTTACATGTATGCTAGACTCAGTTGAATTCATAATAAGCCTTTTAATCGAAATGAATTTTTTAATGTTCAGAAACAAACAGTACAACTATCACAAATAAGTCATTATTGTTTAGCTAACACTTTGAATGGTAGATCAAACTGATATACAACAAATGGTCATACTATTTTCTTTTAAATGCAGACTTATCATCTATTTATTGATATTTCATTATCAAGTAATGTAGATTGTTGTCAATTACTGAAATGTGAATCAATCATTGTTACACCACCATTAGAAACCTGAAAGCATTGAAAAGCCGTTTTGTTCTGCTACGGAAATTATCTGCAGTGCTTATCCACGATTCCCGCTACTCACAGAAAAAGAACCCAAGACCTTTGACCTCGCACACGAACGCCTAACCTTTGGACCACTGAGCTGTCATTCAGCAGTGTTAATGTCTAACTCTGATCAATCTAAGGATTTTGCGCGACCTCACCCACTTGTCTCCGGTAGTCACTGCATACAGCCGACAGGGTTGAACTCCACTGGTCGCGTCTTCTCTCTATAACTCCAAGGTTAGGTGTTCGAGTGCAGGAACTAAGGTCCAGGGTTTGAATCCTGCGAGTCGCATAAGTCGTAGATGCTCATTGCTCATGAGTCCCATACCAAGATTCACATTCCAGTATCTGTTGATCGATATATATGGACAATCTCAATTTTTGTAATATTTTCCACATAACTACTATTATCATTCGATATTTGAATGAGAATTTTCAACCATTTTAAACTTTATTGAGTAACCTCGAAATATCTTAACAACCTGTCTTAACTCATTTATTAGGTAGTACTTTCAAACAATATAACTATACTGATCATATTGAGTTTTACATAGCTTGTTTATATAATTCATTAGTATTCTCATAAAGAATTTTAAATTTGTAATTGTATTTACTAGCTCATTATACAAATATGATTCTTTGATGTTGTTTAAGTGAACCAAGAATTTTCATTTAGGCATAAAAAGACAAGATCAATGGACTTATTGTTATCAATTTTATTATAATAAACCTATGTGTTTTACATGAAATTTGTAGAATCATTCTTCTTAGCCTGACGAATGATTTTTATACTTTCTCTATCGTTATGATAACAAAATAACAAATTTATAAAATGCTTCCCGTTCTTTATTGTCTGAGTTTAAAATATATTATTTTATTTCATTGTTAAGCGACGATCTTGATAAAGTCATTTAGACAAAATAATTTGTTATTAGAATATAACTGGAGCATCAAAATTGTAGAGTTATCATAGTTTAAATCAGAAAGAGATTTTAACGAGGCCATCACTGATAACAAGATTCCGGGATAGATGTTTCGTTCTAGCACGGGACTCGTTAGCAGTGAAAATCTCCAACGAAGCACTGGTCTAGAGGTTAAGAATTCACGCATGACCGACGGTTCTGAGTTTTATCTCCTGCAGTTAGATCGTGGATGTTCACTATTGAAGAGTCCTAAACTAGGACGCAATAGTTTTCTAATGCTTTCTGATTTTTAGTGATGGTCTGGTTAAGATCATTCCAGGTTTGAAAATACTATTGGAATGATTAAAGTTTCTCCAAATAGAATGGTGTACTTTGCCTGATTTTTCCATTAAAAAATTGTCTTACAAACTTACGGAAAGCAGCGATGGCTTTTTCCATTGTCTCTCTACCAATTGATTTAATCAAAGGTGATTGCTTCTCCTCATCAATAGAATCTTTAATTTCTTCTGTCATCTTGATAAAAGTAGTCTGTAGTAGTATGTAAAAAAAGTGTGTGAAGTCATTAATTAGGAAGTAATTGTTCAATATATCAACATCAAATTTTTAAATTTTTTTGTCTATCGAAGAGTTGTTGAAATGTTGCTACAGTCTATCTGTGAAATAAGATTATCAGTGTCGATTTTTCTCTTATGATAATTTTCTCTGCTCTGATATTGATAAGTCTGCTAAATACACGCTAGATCTAGTTTCCTACTCGCTCTTAATCTACACGACAAACCTGAACACAGAGTATAGGCACGAAGCTCAAAGCGAAAGAATGGTGATAAGGATGTACTTGACCTCGAAAATAAATCAAAAATACTTTAAGAATACACCGGATTTTTATATGATTTATCTACAGTTAGATTAACAGTCAGATTTTGCAGACATTAAACTGGCAATAATAATCCAATCAATACTACTATGTGAACACAAATTTATCGTACTATATAATTCAGAATCTAAAATTCTCTATAAAATCTGAATACAGGTCACATACGTTTAGAACAAACTCTCTTCCATTTGTCATTCATAATTCAAATAATTCAGCTATTACACAACAAATCAGATTTTACCTCATAAATAATTACACCAGTGATAATACCTTACTCCATTAGTGAAATTATTAAGTATACTCCCTAACTATCCATTCGTATTGATTTTTTATCTGTTGGCTTTCGTAAAAATTTGCATCATGAAATCCTTACTCTAAACCTGTTTATTTATATAAAATGGCATATTAGTTTACATAAGTCTCATCACATAATAATCAAACACGTATGTAACAATAGATCTATCACAGTAATGCTTGTTGTTATTATTTCATGCTCTCAGGCTTCAGTTTTCTCTTTTTCTAGCTTTAGAGGAGTAAAAATGTGCGGTGTAGCGGTTTTGTAATCACTCTTAAATAGTCATTTTTATACATGACGTCCTAGTCTTGCTACAGTGAACATACTGATTCTTAAGTACTGAGTCCGGTGAAAAGTCTATCATTCCGAAACGCTCAGGATATTTTAACTTTACCGTTTATTTTGAGTGTACATATGTATGTTGTCCTTACATTGCTTATTTAAAACACCTGTGTGCTTGCAAGACTGATAACTATGTATACTCTGATAGTATTGATGTCATCAAAAATACTATCGACTATTCTTACGTATTTTATGACTGCATCGTAAGCTTCACGCTATTTAGATAGTTTTTAACAAATTTTTCAATCGAAACGATTTATGAACTAAGCCTTTTCATATAATATACTGTTGTTTGTTTAACACATTAAATTACTCTTTGTATCAACTTAATCGTGCTTATTTATTGACGTGTTTCTGAAATTATTTTTAGTGTATAGCCATATATTACTGAAATTTTTATTAGTAAATAATTAATTTCAGACTATTTTTTAAATTGTTCACAAATTTTCATTTGGATTTGAAATACAAATTTATAGGTGAACAATATTGCATTCAATTTTATTTCCAATAATTGGTTAACAATATTGAGTTTATGACATAGGATTAGAGTTTTGTGAAATTGTCACTGTCACGACTATTTATTGTTTATGTTATTTCATGTAAGTTTTAGTTTGAAACTTTATATTTTCTTAGAAACATACAAGTTTAGAAAGTTTTTCACCAGAAAACAATTTTGTTGTTAAACCCACTGATCTTTTCATAGTTACCATTTCGAAAGATTAATAGACTTTTATAAAATGAAAGGATGATGGAGTTTACTGAATTTCATAGTTTACATCATAGAATAAATTTAGACAACTAAGGGAAAACAGGAATCACTGGAGAGATATTTCATCCTGGTATGGGACTTCTCATCAATCGGTATTCACAACCCTATGAGGGATTTATTCTAGGGACTTCAGGTCTCGGTCTAAGTCTTGAGCCCTTAAAACACTGAATATATAGGTTCAATTAGGCTCAACAAGAAATAAGAGGTTCAATTAGTTTTCTACGCAACAGTATTCCAACGATCCTGGTAAACAGATCTACAAAACACAAAATTGTTGAACACAACTGACCCGTGTTTTTCATTTAAAACCGGTGAACTATCTATTGCCGTTGGTCACTAGTGGTTACCATAAGCGTATTGTAAATTCTCTATAGTTTACACCGCTGGCTGTTCTCAGTTGGAAAACCGAAAATTCATAAAAATGCTGTTTAGCTTCCTCAATCTTGAGCATGAACAAGGCTTTAAAGTTCTTAACGTAAATCTTATTAATGCATTTAGAGTATAACCTCAATAATCTAGAGGTTAAGTGTTCATATGCAAGACTGAATGTCTTAGGTTTAATTCCCGTTTGCGGGCTCAGGGATGGATACTTCTGAGGAGTCCCATACTAGGATGAAAAGACCGTTCATTGGTAATTAAACTTTGATCTGTTAGTGTTTTAAACTAGAAAACTCACTGATCAATAAAATATTTGTAAAGAACTCCTAACACCATGATAAAACTGATTAAGAAAATATTGAAGGAGATAGTATATCAGCATAAGAATCTCTCATACAATTGTTACTTTCACTATTTAGTCATTTAGCAGTATTTTGTTTGTGATACTGATGACCTACATGAAAAGATTTTATTGTCTTTCGAACTAATATCGGTACCTGTTTCATGTAGAAGCGTTTTCCAAGTTATTTGACAAGCATGAAATTAATTTGTTCACGGATGGACTTGTTTTTAATTGGTAATTCGTATTAAAAACATAAAAAACGGCTGTTTTAGAATAATAATGTCAACATAGTATGAACCGGTTTAATACTTGTGAATAAACTGTCAAGTGAAATTCTACAGATGTCCTATAGAACGAGGTTACAAGAACAACTACAGTATTTATGATATCAAATGAACAAATTATCTCTGTAATACAACAGTGCAAAATCAAAAAACGTGCTCACTACTGACTGGTGGGTAAATTCTTGGAGTTCTAGTGAGAAGATGTTTCCAGTGGAGTTCAACCACGTCGAATTTATGCAGCACCTACTGAAGAAAATGGGTGACATTTCCCGAAAACCTTAGATCGATCAGAGGTTAGGCGTTCGCGCGCAATACCGGAAGTCCTGGGTTCGATTCCATAAAGTAGTGGGGGCTCATTGGCTTCCAAGTTCTTAATGGTGGACTAACAATGATTCTATTCATGATCTCAATGTGTAAAAACAACAATCTCCATAATATTGCAATTCAAAATAAATACCGTGATGAGTTTTCGAAATTTTATTTTGGAAAAAAGAAACAGGATAAATGTAATAATGATTCTGGTTGTTTGAAATGTTAACACTGTATCACTTGATCGAGAATTTTGTTTACTGATATCACTGATAAGGCTCATTCGACTATAGATCATTACTGCCAATACTGTAACTTTTTTTCACATTTTATTAATCCTATGAAAAATATACAGCTGTCTACGCAAAATACTTCGTATTCGTTGGCCAGACAACATCAGCAACAACGAACTGTGGGAGAGAACAAACCAAATTCCAGTGGATGAGGAAATGAGGAAGAAGCGGTGGAAGTGGATAGGACACACATTACGAAAAACACCTAACTGCGTCACGAGACAAGCCCTCACATGGAACCCTCAAGGCAAAAGGAAAAGAGGAAGGCCAAAGAATACATTACGCCGAGAAATAGAGAAAGATATGAGAGGAATGAACAAACATTGGACAGATCTGGAGAGGGAAGCCCAGGACAGAGTTGGTTGGAGGAAACTGGTGAGCGGCCTATGCTCCATTGGGGGTGACAGGCGTAAGTAAGTAAGTAAGTATGGAAAATATATATTTATCACTGATAACGAAAAAAAACGTTACAAACAACGTAACTAGTATCAGCTGATTGTCAGATGTATGCAAGGTAATGTACTTTGACATTCTGGATAAAATTGTCTGTTTGCTTATACCATCGACTTGATCATTACTTATTCTTAAAACGCTTAGTCTACACAATCAAATATACCGATAATGTTAGCTGAACATGTTTGCGCACAGGACTGAAGGTCTTGGGTTCGAATCCTGCCGAGTGCAGGAGTCGTGGATGCGCACTACTGATGAGTCTGATACCAGAACGAAACGGCTGTACAATGCTTCCGGGTTTCTAATGCTGGTCTAACAATGATTGATTGATGATTTCAAATGTGTGAGAACATGTTTATCGTTCGATCTGATGATATTATTCAGAAGTACTTCCTATGAAAAAAAACAGTGTCCTTCAAAAATTAAAAAGTTGATCTTTAACAAGATGATTGAATTGAGTTAACCATTGTGTTGAGGATGTTAGATCCCCAAAACTCGCTTGATGAATGGCTCATTTTGGATTTCACGTTTGCGAGCATGGGCTGATCAGTTGACCTTGAGATTTCATTTCCCACCAGGAAAATCCGTGGCTGTGATTGGCTGCTGTGTATTTTAGTGTGCTATTTTTGTGACTGTCCCAAGGACGTTTCTGTGATGTATAAATAAACGAGAGTTGTATGTTTGATTGTATTGTAATTACTGGGTGTTTGTAGAATATACTTTCTACGCTTACAGAGCTTTTTTTCTTCAGCTTGGGATTCAAGGTAGCCTACCTGGACGCTGGTAGAAGTCTCGTTCGCGTTTATCGACTAAGGTAAACTCGTAATAGCTTGAAGTGTACCTAGTGACGAACCCTACACATTGACTTTTATTCTTGAAAAAAATTAAAAAGCTCTTTTTCTGTTTTATTTTGTTACAACACCTTCATTTACTTCTTAGAACTAACTGTGAACTGTATTTTTTCTAAGCGCAAGAATAACTACAATTGTACAATATGTTGTATCTGTTTTTTAAACTAGAATGTTATCTTCATGAAATCTATTTCAAATGTATCATAGAGAAACTAAATCTGAATTGAATTGTTCATTGCTGCTGACTTGCATAATCAACATGGTATAAAATTTCATTCACATTTATTATGGTACAGTTATTCATGGTTAACCAATAAGCCTG